TTCACACCATACCAGCGGGCAAAGGAGACCCTCGCTACCTAGCCCCCGGGACCAACCCCAAGATGGAAAACACACAGCTTGCCGGGACGGCCGAGCAGAACACACGCGCGCAGACCCGTTTCCATTCCCACGGACGCGGTGCTGCTGCTGTTGCTGCTCAGTGTATAATCTCACAAGCAGCTTATCAGCGCATGACGCTTCCTCCGATCGCCAAGCAAGAGTCTCTTCCAACTCCGCTCCCTAGTCACCTAGGCCATCCCGCTGAGCCAAACCTTTCCCAGCCAGGCTTTTATTAGGTTTCTTAATGCACGTGCGCCGTACAGAACCACCTATGCATGTTTGTCATCTGTCCGTCTGTCTGTCTGCTTGTATGTCTATTCCCGTTGATGGAAATTTTTGAAAACCAGGTCAGCCGCCGTAGTCCACGACGATCGATTGCCGCCCACGCAGGTTGAGCTTGAACACATCATAAACATCAAATGCATACATATACATACAAACAAACAATCACAAACATAATCGCAACCACAACCACACGCCGTGTGTCGCATTAATCCCCCAATGCCGCCCATTCATCAATACCCTGCTTAGATGTGTATACTTCCTTCCCTGCCTCCACTGCCATTTTGGAAAAAGGAAGGAGAGGATATCACGACTTCCCTTTCTCCTCCCCCTTTCTCTTCCCTTTCTGGCCCCTCCTCGCTTCCTCGCTGCGGCTCAAGCACTCACTCCCACACCGCAGATGTAAACGTTTCTGACACCCACCTCCCCCCGGTGTGGAGCCGTCCCCGCTTCCCCCCGCTCACCCCCTCCCCACCCACCCCAACAGTCCCAACCACCGCACTGTCACCACCGCCATCGCCCCTCCCTCCAGTCCCCTGCCCTTTTCCAGTGCTCTTGCAGCCCACTTTGCTGTGTAACAAAGCTTCTATGCTACTGCAACTGCTGCTGCTGCTGCCGGTGCTGCAGAAGCAGCAATTGTGCCAGGAAATTGCGCGTCGGGATCGTCCCATTGCCACCGCCGTCGTCAATGCCAACAACACTGCAAACCGCGTCGCCAACATCGCCGCCGGCGGGCCCCAAGCCCGCGTGCAGCAACAGCGCCTCGGCCAGCTGCGGATTATCGGCGGTAGCGACCGCGGCCGTAGCGGCTGTAGCTGAAGTCTGGAGGCCATCCTGAGCGGGCAATAATGGGCGGGTCTATGAATACGCGAAACAATATACATGCATTCAATAGAACGTGTATATGGATGACTGCTGACTAGATAGACATTGAAACAGACATACAGGAAAGTACGACTGGATATCGTGGATGTGAGTGGGTGGGTAAAAGCAGAGGGTTAGGGTTTGTGCGCGGGCGGATAAAGCTCATCCCTGTGTCGAGTCAGACAGGATTATCATCATTACACATTTCAAACCACTATCTCCGAACGTACTTCGCACGTGCCGCCGCTGCTGCCATGTACACCACCACCACCGGCAGGCGTGCGTGGCCCCGTCGCCGGAACAGGGGCAGCACCAGCAGCGCCAGAGGCTTGCGAGGCGTCTGAGTGAGACTCTGGCGGAGCTCGGCACGGGCCCGCTGAAATCGGCCTTTTCAGCCTTCCTCCTCCTCCTCCTCCTCCTCCTCCTCCTGCTCCTCCTCCCCCTCTCCGCCCCGCCTTTATAGCAGCCGAAGCTGAAGCTGCCTTCCCCCTCGCCTGCATAGGCAGCGAGGCCGGTGGTGGTGGCGGCGGCATAGGGCCTCGAAGGGCCACATCTCGCGGCAGCGGCATTCCGTACATCTGATTGAAGACCGATCTTGGGCCGCCGGCGCCGGCGCCGCTGCCGCGTCCTCCCGGGTCGGAGTTCGGGGTGAGGGTGGCCGCCGTTGGGGGAAGAGAGTCCGAAAAGTCAGGAGCGAGCGTGGGGGAGAGAGAGGGCGCGGCCTCATCAGCCCCAGGCATCACCGCATCTGGAGGTGTCTCAAGGTTGAGGGTGAGGTGCCGCAGGTTCGCAGACCCTCCCGCGGCATTCATTGAGCGGCGATGGCTGCCAAACAGCGCATGCTGTTTTACCGGCGGAGAGGCAGCTTGGTTAAGAAAATTAGTTTTTGAAGCCGCTCGATGGAGGAATTGGGGATCCGCCTGAAGCGTCAGAGCAGAAGGCTGCGGCATTAATGCAGCAACGCGGGCATCGTACTCGCGGCGCAGAGTCCGTAGCTGAGCAAGAAGAGATTTTTCGTTCCCCTCCAGCAATTCCATTTGCTGCTTGAGAGCATTCTTGGACAAGCTGCTGAAGACGACCGCCCGCTGTAAACCACGGCAGAACGCAATTGGCTCCGCCGCAGCTGATGTACAGCGATCTGCGCTTCCACATGGTGGCTGGTTGCATTCTAAAGTGGTGGTGTAGGCATCAGTGGTAAAGGGCTGAGGTGAGCAATCAAGAAATGCCTCATTTGGTCGACGGCCGCACAAGGGAAGGCGAAAGCTATCCAGAGCGTCAGGGAAAGTGCAATCAGGTTCTATCCTGTCATCACTGCCATCCGAGCGACGACTGGGACAACCTGGGCCCTCGACTGCAATTCCAGCGCCATCCATCTTCCAAGCCTCGGGCAACGCTGGGAGACCAGAGTGAATTCTCTGAACCCCCATAGTGCCGCTGTCACAGCTGCTATCGCTGCAAGCCTCGCTGACGCGAGGCCGACTGGACAGACCAGTTTCCTGGGGCTCCATAAGCTCAAATTTAGGCCTATTCCGCTTCAACATTTCCTTCAGATTGAGCAAAATTATCAGATATTTTACTTTTGTTTACCTATGTGCTAGTCGCCTCTGCGCCGCTTTCGGGGCTCGCGAGTCTACGTCTAGTCGAAGCGATAGAACTGGTAAAGCTCCAAATTGGCTCTCACAGCCGGGGCACAAGCGCTCAGCGCCGCGCACGCGCAATAATGCAAAATTTATGTACAGAAAGTGCACAAGATGTCGCAACGGATACCAGTTACGAAGTACTAGTACGGCTGGGCTTGAGATCACCCGGTCTACGCCCAATTTTGAGCCTTTCATGCAGATTAACCTTGAATATATTTTTGGATACTCTTGCATAGATGGTACGGGCGTCAGGTATAGTGGGCTCTAGCCCGTTATTTGTAAGAACTTGAAGGGCGCGCCCAGACAAAAACACACTTCACGCTTGCCAATAATAGGCAAATATATAATTGAGCTAAACTTGATAATCAGTTTGCTGAATATTTATCCTATCCTTTTATTACTTCAGGTGATATGTACGATAGCCAGCTGATACCGTTGAAGCATACATTATGCTGAATAATTTCATTTTTTATGAATATGGTTGACTCAACTGTACTCCTCACCTACGGCAGTGGCGTTTCTGTGATCAAGGTCGACTCAATTTCCAATGTGTCATTCGCCGTAACAATATATATGACATCGCGCATACCTACATTACATGCAAGCCCATGGTCTGACCATTGGATTTGTTACATACGTCAGTCACATTTCCCGGCGTGGGTCGCGTTGGTCTGAGGACTGCGTAATCAGCTGATTACGTAGTCCTAATCATAGCGAGGATGCCCGCTAAACTGCTATTGCACTGAATAGTAACCTTTCCTTAGCTTAGAGTCGCATGCTGTGATACTTTCACGTCCTAAGTCCATCATTTTAAGGTGCAGATGCTGTATACGAACGATGCAGTGTGGAACCCTTCATTCCCCCTCAACGGTAGCATCAGCGCTCGCGCCCAGACTTGCTCCTTGGTGCAACATACGAAGTATTGCTCACTAAGTATTGCTTACAGCATGATAGGACAAAACGTTTCAACCAACCGGAGGAGAAAAGCCATTCGTGATCAAGAGGAACGTTCGTTTCCAGACCTTTCCAGCTGCCCGAAAACCCCGACTTCACCCGAGAAGAACAGCCCGTTTCCGCTAGAAAGGAACCATACAAAGCTAAACAGAAGCTATAACCGAAATTCTCTAGGCGACTTAGCAAGCCTTATGAAAGCGCCGAACAGCACAAAGCGTCCTCGCACCTTCCACTCGGCTTAAAAACGCATTACCGAGTTCCTTTCCTTGGCAGGCATGCTCCTTCCCGACTCGTCAAAGGATGCACAACCCGCAAGCCTCACACTGCTCCATCCGCCCACTCGAATGATATTGATGACCTTAGATGAGGGAATGTCAGAATTTGCACCCATCCAGCCACCAAACCGGTTTCGACTGCCACATCAAAGAGAGGATCCATGCGCTGAAACCTGTAGTAATCTCTTCATCTGCAGTCTCGCGTCCAGCCTTTCCAACCTAAAACTGCGCCATGACATTACCATCGACCAAGACCAAATAAACCAAAACGACACCCGACACGCTGAGATGGCGAGATTACTTAGGACAGGTGGCGGGGCCCGGTATCGGCGGGCCGGAGGGAACTTCCCGGCCCAGCAGTACAGCTCCGAGCCCTTAAGATCCTTAACCGGAATACAAAACCCACGCCACTACCCTTAGGAGACCGAGCGCCTTCCCCACCCAATCTTAAAACCCAACAAGACCTCCCCCCGGAAGCCACCAGTTTCCACTGACATCAGCCGCACACGTGCACACACACACACACATATACACACACACGCACACTCTCTCTTCATGGCATCACCCTCAACTACCCGTATGTATGTATGGATGGATGGATGTATACCCCGTGAGGTGAGAAATGCTGTGTCTTGTGAACGAGCCACGGGAGAAGAAGCCCTTCGTGGAATGAGAGCGAGACACCTCGCGGAGGTCCCCTCGTCCAGACACACGCCTTGCTCCTCTACGATGCACCCGCCAAAAAAGGTACCCACGCAAACCCAACCAACCCATCAGCTGCCGTAATGCAACCGGAATGCAAGGCAGAAGCCATTTCCGAAATCACGGCTCTATCAATTTTCCACATTCGTGGTGACCGACCCCATATCGCTATTTCCGCATCTCTCAATCTCTTCTGAAACCGGGGCATCTCTCGCCAGCGTATCTCCCCGGCACGCCTCGAGGAGACAAACCGCCTTAATGCGCAAATCCTTAAAATCCCCCGGAAGGGGTTCCAACCCAACCCCATGCGACTATTTGCCAGCGCCCTGTAGCTGGATGCTGCTGACGCAGCCTGCTCATTCCCATCCGCCACTTTTCCCCCTTCCGCCCGCTTCCGACTTCCTTTGCAAAAAAGGAAAAAAGAAAATCGCCGTCCTCCCGCGCACGACCCTCCCCCCGTTGAGTGCGCCAAAATTGCGGATATCTTGTTGGAATACATACATACAGACATACAAAACAGCCAGACACTTTAGAGGCCGCGTGCAGAAGAGCACGTGTGAAGAGCAGATGCGGCAACCACCACCATGCGATTGTTCTTCAAATAAAAAAAGCCACGAGCACTCCAAGCGAGCGTGACCTGCAAATGTTGAAAAAACATCGTTCTGTGTATGTTGTCCTGTATGTTGTCCTAAGATTCTTAGTACGTTTGTGCGTGTGTGTGTGTGTGTGAGAGTGCATTTTCTCTTGCATCCCCACATCTCCCTCCCCCTCCGCCTCCACCTCCACCACTACCTCCACTTGCAGTTCATCACGTACCGGCCCAGCCAAGCCGGAGTGCGAGCTGTGGCAAGCCGAAGGGGATGAACTAAAGTTCCCCTTTACCCCTAAAAAGGTATGACAGCTTAGAAGCCCACCGCATATCACCGCTCCAAAAAACGTCAACAACAGCAACAAGGAGTGCACCCCACACGCCACCGCACCACCCCTCACCACACCGGCCCACGTCCCCTAACAAACGAACCTCGCAGCTTGCAACGCCAAAGTGGCGACCCTGTCACTGCCACTACCTTTATCATGCGCCACCACATCACAGGCCTAGTGTCAGAAATGACGACACCAGAGCGTGCCTACCTTACGACACGCATATGGCGTATGTTCTCCAGGCACATACAGGCATACAGGCATACAAACATACACACAGACAGACATGGTGGACACACGGTTTCCAATGTCGCACCACACGTCCTACACATTTACACCAAAAACCCAATGTTCTGATGCGCGACGTGATAACATACGACGCAATCATACGACACGATACGACACTACACAGCGCATGCGCGAAAACGTTCGTTCCCACGAAGACGCCATTTCAGCGGTTCCAGATTTTGATCTTCTGACCGCTTCCGACGAAATCTAATTCGGCACATTCAGACTCCAGAATGGTTCCGTAAACCACCACACGCTGTCCTGTCACCTGCCAGCCGCCCAAGGTGGGGAATAGCTGACGACGCAAAGATCACAATACTCCTTATCGAAATCCGGCAATGTCGTTTGCGACTCAACAGAGATATGCTGGTTGCGATGGCAGCCGGATTGCTGCTTATTTTTGAGGGGGAGAGAGAGAGAGATGTTGAGCTCATGCGCTTGTGCATGAGCCAAGAAACCACAACAAACAACAGCCTAAGCCGCCGCTGGTCGCGGCCGCCGCCCGGTCCCCCGGGGGCAAACCCCCGCATTCTAGGTGCTGCTTTTTCAGAGGTAATCTGTAAAATGATCAATGCCATCCCCTCACATTGACACAACCTGTGGCCTTCTCTTGTCGTCCCTCCTTTTTTCTTTCCTTCCCTTGCCCGTCCACGCGCTACTGGTAACTCCCACCCCAAAGTCAGTCCCCTGCCCTCCCTTCGACCAGCCTCCAACGATCAGGCTTTATCCCCAGCACCCGCCTCTTCGCCGGTCACCATGTCAGCATCCTGTATGTGCTGTTGCTGCTGCTGCTGTTGCTGCTGCTGATGTTGTTGTTGTTGCTGTTGTTGTCGCAGCAGTGCCAGAAGAATCCTCCGCTGGATGAGCGCTTGCTCCTCATCTGCGCCGCCGCCGCCGGCAAGCAGCGCCTCTACATCAATACCAACGCCGCCGTTGTACGGCACTGTGCCGGCGGCGGCACGGGATCCATGCGGCAGTGGCGGTGGACCATTCCGTAGCGCCGCTGCACCGGCTCCGTCACTACCGCCGCCACCGCCGGCGTGAGCACGCTGCCGTGAAGCCTGGCTGCCGCCGCCGCCAAGCATCCCGCCCAGGTCTGAAACTCCCAGCGAGCCCGCATCCCGACATGGAGTCGCCGCTAGCCCGCCCGCTGGCGCCGCGCCCTTGTTGCTAGATAACGCAGCAATGTATGCCATCAGGCGTCCGCCGCCGTCGGCGCTGAGCGAGCTCCAAGCCTCATCCGACGTAGCGGCGGTGCCGTCCTGTACGGCGGCGGCGGCAGCGGCGACTGCGCCGTGCACCTCCGCGGGGTGGACGCCCCTCCGCTGATGGGAAGGGAGTGAAGAGTGCCGAGCCAGCGGGTGGTGGTGAGCGGGGTGTTGCTGGGGGGGGAAATGAGGCGGGTGGGGGTGGTCGGATGCGGTCCCAGCAGTGGCGGCGGCGGCAGCGGAGGGGACGCCGTGGTGAGCTGCTGCCGCGGCAGCGGCGCCGCTGCCGGTACGGAGCACATCCGTTCCCGAAAGCTCACGGACGAGCGTGCCGCTGCCCCCACCACCAGGCGCGGCGGCTGCGGCCGCCCTGGCGGCGGCTACTAGAACATGAGACGGCAAAGATGACAGCCGCGCCAAGGCCCCATCCACGCCGTCAGGACCGGCCGTCGCGGCTACCGGAGCTACCGCCGCCGCCACCGCCGATGGGAACGGCGACCCCGCAGTTCCCAGCAACGCTTCCGTTCCTAGCCCCGCCACCGCCGCGGCTAGAGCCGCCGCCGCATCGCGGTCCTTGCCGCGCATGGCCTCCCGGACCATCTGCTTCATTTGCTGTACGTGTAGCAGCTTCTGCATTAGTCGTACTTGCTTAAGTTCGTACACCAGTCGCTCCTCCTGCAGCAATAGCTTCCGTTCTATGGCGGCTAGGGAGGCATGGATGCGCTCGTCGCCGGCGGGCGCAGCGGCATTGGCGGCGCCGGCTGCTGCTGCTGCGGCGGCAGCTGCCGCCGTCACCGCCGCCTCCGCCATTCCCGATACCGTTCGCAAGGGAGCTGTCGGCGGCGAAGACGACGAATCCACCTGCGGAGTCATTGCATGGCAGTTGCGGCGGGCACGGTTTCAAAGCAGTTTGGATCAAAACAGGAGGAAGTGGGTTTCGGAGCCGACGATGGGGAACGAGTCCCCGGTCTCAGAAACACAGCTGGCATGGAGCGACAAAAAGTATATTGCGAAGCGCAGCACATACACCATACCTGCATCGCGTCGACGGCCCCTGCGCCGCCGCCGCCACCTCCCCCGCCAACGCCGCCATTAAACGGAGGATCCCTGGAGCTGTACGACATCTGGCGGTTGAGCGCCGAGCCTTCTCCGCCCCCCATGCGAGATGGCTGGCCCCCTGCCGCAATCGTCGTCGAATTGCCGCAGCCGCCGCTGTACGGCATCCCGTCTGCGGGAAACCCTGCCGCCATCGCCGCAGCCGCCACATGTTCGGCTCCCAGATCGGCTCGTGAGCCACCCAGGGCCGGAGAGTCCTGCGGAGGATGCTGCGGCATCTGCGTCCTTTCCCGTTCTTGCTCCCTTGCACCGCGACTATGGTTGGGCCGCTGCAATTGGCCGGCGGGGTGAGAGAGTGTGTGTGTATGCGCATGAGCGTCAGTGCGGAAGGCGAGGGATAAGACGATGTATTTTCGAGGGAGAGGGGACAGGACCAGGTAGGTTTGGTTGAGTTTAGTTGGGTAGTTGGGTTTTCAGGTAGGGTGGGCTCGTAGGGCGGTACCGGCGCTGGCGCCATTCCCACCGCCGCAGTTGGGGAAACATCATCATGTGGGTGACCCCTCGGGTAACCCCCTCCCTTCCCCCAGCGCCATCCGTACATCAACCTCACCTCTCCAGCCGCCACAACATCCGCTGACCCAGCCGCCGCCGCCGCCGGTGGCGGCGGCCCACGGCCCCCTGGCCCAGCCGTCCCCGCCGCCGCTGAAGACCGTTGCTGCTGTTGTTGCTGCTGCTGTTGTTGTTGCTGCTGTTGGCGGATGGCCAACATGTGCAGCAAAGAGATGACAGAGCTGGTGTGGAGAGGACCTGCCGCCGCTGTCGGGTCCTCCGTGCCGTCAGCGTCAGCGCCGCCGGCACCGGCAAAGGCGCCTGCCGCAGCGGCCGCAGCCGCATCAGCGCCGCGCCCGGGTGGTAGCGGCTGCTGCGGTAGGTGGTTATAGTGGTTGTTGGCGTTATCAGGTTGTCCCTGCGAGATGTACGGCACAAACCCATGTGCAGAGGGGGAACCGGGGTTGCTGCCGGTGTCGAAGTCGTGGCCGAGCGACGAGGGGGCCCCGCTCAGACGGGGGCCCTGCTGCTGCTGCTGCTGCTGCAAATTCTAAACGATAAAAGGATAAAGAGGAGGAGAAAGGGGGGGAGGTAGGGGCAGAGGAAGGGGCAATCGGTGTGGCGTCCATGCAACATTTTTTGGTAAGGAACTGCCTGCCGCACCAAACATACCTATACTGTACTGCGCTGTGCTGCACGGTAAAACTACAGTTAATTCATGTACATATTTAAACAGGTCGGCTGGGTGAGGAGCAAGGTCAACCTTACCCGGTGAGCGCCGAGCCGTGCTGAACCGCCCACGGCAACGCCGCCTCCGCCTCCGCCAGCCGCCGCCGCCGAGGGTCCCGAAGATGACCCATGGGTCACGTGGCCAGCTGGGCCACTGGGCGATTCTCCCGAAGCCCCGCCACCGCCTCCTCCAAACCCCCCTCCAGAGACTGGGTCCGCAGGGACCGAATCCTGGCAGCACCAGCAGCAGTAGCAGCACCAGCACCAGCGGTAACGAGGGTTGGCCACATGGCAATAGTCGTAGCGGTGGCAGCGGCAGCAATGGGGGAGTGAAAAAGTCTATAACCGCCGACTGGGACCAGAACAGGGACGGGATTTTTCAAAAGAGACCCCAAAACAAATCATGATTGCCGTTAGCCCCCATCCCATAACCTCCGAGCATCCGCGCTGAGCAATAACCTTAGCGGACGCATCGCCCTCAAGACACGTGAGACACATTGCCGTACGCCCACCGCCGCCGCACCTCCGCTCCACGCTCAAGCTTCACAAAGGCAACACCGCCTGTTGCACCCGCTGCTGCTGCCGCCGCCGCCGCCGCACCAAGTTGCTGTTGCTGCAGCTGCTGCTGTTGCTGTTGTTGCTGTTGGTCGGCATTAGCGGCAACTGCGGCAGATGAGGTCTGCCTGCTGAGCATATGTGGCCGCTTTGCGGAGGGCGCCGCATCCGCCGGGGCTCCCCCTCCCCCTCCTCCTGTCGCTCCATTGACCTGGGATGTAACTGTAGTAGGCCCCCCTCCAAGCACCATGGCTCGAAGCCTGGAAGAATGCAGGTGCAGAACACGGAGGGACGGCTGGATCATAATTGGATCTGGATGGATGGATGGATGGATCGTGGATGGATCTCAAGGCCCATAAGGGTTCTTGGAAACTTCAACGGACCCCAAGGCGGACTAACTACCACCCCAAAAGTCGGTTCTCCCACGCCCCCTACGTTACGTAGGAACATAGTTGTTGGTCGTGCTGCAAACCTTGGATCGCGTTGCTTCGGGAGCGAGAGCGCTTCTCTACATGAGCACATGTCTTGCGCTCATGTGTGGTGTGGTGTGGTGTTAGCGGCACATTTTCACCGAAGATGTGATTGGTTTGCACAATTCCTTTTTAGGAGGTTACTACTGGTACTGGTACTGGACATGTGTCCGGCAGCAACGCCCCTCTGCACAACGCAGACGGGGACATCAACGCGCCGAGGCCAACTCCACGGCACAAGGTGCCACGGCCAAACATGTCTGTGGTAAGGTTAACACAGAAGAGCAGTTGCGTGTCACATCTGCCATGTGTCTGTCACAGTTCACACAGAAGGACAACACGTGCGTGTCATGTCATCTCATGGCATGGCATGTCTTCGGACTCCCTACAGCAGCAGCTCTTCTCGCAACTCTCTGGACGCCAGTCGGCTGATGTTGTTCTTCTTGGCTTTGCTGCACCACCATACATCATACAACATCGTATCCCTCCCGCTCCCCGGCCCCTGTCTCCACCCTAAACGGCTTTCCTCCGCCGAGCCCGCCGCCACTGGAACCCCAAGCGGACCAAACACATCCCGCCCCCTCCACCTTCCCCCCACACACACACCAGCCCGCGGACCGCATCCAACCCCTGCCTCTTTCCATCTTTCCCTACACCCCTTTCCGCAGCAGCCCCTGTCCCCCTCCCCCCTGCTGCCACCCCAGCTGCCCACCAAGAGCTCCCCCAAGAAGCATCTCCGGCTGGAGACCTCCCCTCCTGGGTGAGGTGAACTCCTGCCCTCGTGTGCGCCAGCCGTGTTCCGCACCACGACGCCAAGTAACCCCCCCGGTCACCTTATTATTTGGTAACACCACACGCATCCACATACCACTGTCTTGCTGCACCGGAATTTTTAACCCCACGCCCCCAAACCCCGAAACCCCGCTCTCCCCCCACCTCTCCACAGCTGTCACGTCGCCTGCCGCTGCAGCGCCCAGGGAGTTGAGTCCCAAGCGGGCTGCCATAAGGCCCACATCGGCCGCCCCCGGCGGCGGCAGCCGCTGGCCTCCGTTGATCACTGGCTCACTGGACACGCGCCTGAAGTGGGTTTTAGGGTTACGGATTTCATGTGTGAACATTTTAAACTGTTAGGCACGTAGGGTTGCGGCTTATGGACGGCTGTGTGAAGGTGCAGGCGGTGTGTTCGGTTGTTAAAGGACGTTGCCGCGCAATGGGGCGGCATGGGAGGCATACTTTCCCATTCATGTGCATGTGCATGTGCGTGCGAGAGTATGTATGTATGTATATATATATGTATATATATGTATATATATGTATGTATGACTTAGATGTATGTATGTATGTATGTATGCATGCATGTATGCATGTTATGTATGTACGTGTATATTATATATACAGCTTTTTCCCCGTTCTCATCGATACGTACAGAACGACTTTCCGTGCAAACTCCTCCTACTCCATATCGTACAATCCCACCACCCCGCATTCCGCAGTCTAGGAATGCGCGCTCCAATGGGCTGTAAGGGCCCCACCCCGTCCGGAGCTGCAACCTCCTCCTTCGGGTCACTCTCCGCATCTGCCTCCTCAGCACGCTTCCATACGGTCATACCACTGTGGCCGATCTGGGTCTCTGTCAGTCTGTTTGTTTGTATGTCCATACGTCTGCTGCCCGCCGCCAGGCCGTACCAGCAACTACGGCAAGCTCGTAGCATTGCAGCAGCAGTAGCAGTAACATCTTACGTAGGCCTCTGACTACTGCATACGTATGTGTACGTATGTAATGCAAGGCGGCCTTACCCAATGTTCACCGCCGGGGCCCCTGGAGCAGCACCGCCGCCGCCGCCTCCGCCTCCCCCTCCACCGCGCCCTCCGGTCGCCGCGCCTTGCCGCCAACTCTGTGCCATGTCTGCGGCCGCTGCAGCCGCGCTGAGATGTTGCTGCAGCTGCAGTATGGCCGCCTCGGCGGTAGTCGCGCCGCCAACCTCCGGGCGGCCTTCCCGGTAGGGGCCTGATCCGTTGACTGGCGTCGAATCCTCGTCGTTGGTTCCTGGTGGCTTGCGCTTCTTGCCTGTGAAGCTGTTCGGCCGCGATGCAAGGGAATGTGATGCAGCGCCGCTGCTGGGTCGCGACCCGGGCCCGGAGGCCTGACCGGCAAGGCCGAGCGATTGGCGCTGGACTGTTGCATAAAAAGCTTCACGGGAAAGGCCAGCTGGCTTGGAAGCGCCGGTTGCTGCGTTGGGACCCGTTGCCAGCGCTGAATCCGAACGGTGAGCGCCCTGATCGTCTTCGGTGCCCTCTCTTCCCGAGTGGACTTGCCCACCCGCCGCAATTTGAAGCAGCCGATCGTTTCCAGAAGTGTTTGACGCAATGTCTCGCAAGGTAAGCAACGTGTCAACAACATCCGCCTCCGCATCAACGACTTCAGCCTCCACGCGATAATGATCCTCAAGGCGATAACCATGAGGTAATTCTCCACGACTACCTCGTGGAGAGGTTTGCGCTGGCTCATGGGACAGTTGTGTCGCTGCGCCAAGTCCTGCCGGCGACAAGCCTTGTCCTGTCATAGCTTATATAGTGCAGAAGATGTCAAAATAACAAAGTAACCACTGCAGGGCGTGACTTCTTTGCGTTCAACCGCAGCGATGACTTGTGGTCCTACAAGTAACACTATGCCAATAGCTGGTCCATTTCAATCAGAATGATGAAGAATTGTCTTTATTGGAGTGATGCATCATCGTTGCCGCTGCAGTGATGAGCAAAACAATAACCTGGACTCTAACAGCACCGGAGCATAGAGGAGCGAGGAACCAGTGCTGCTCCAACATATAAAAGAAATTCATGCTATGCGCCTAGGATATATTTCGCATGAGTCACCAAAAGGTTCGCAACCAACAGGAAAGGTGACACTTGTACGTCCGTGTCTTGACGTTCTCCCGTTGCCCACGAAACAAGTGCACTTTCTAAACATGTAAATCCTATTATCATTTCTACACGGTAATCGTGGTGCTGCACATTCATGGGTCAACCGTTTGACTCTTTGACATCCCCAACCGAGAAAGGCAATGCTAATCTTTTGCTACGCGGAAATGGTTGCATAATTAGCGGCAGCATAACCTCGTGTGTTTTGTCTCTAGCAGACCTTTCACCTTTCCAAATCCTTTTTCGTGTATGCTTCGACGCTGCGTGCGAATCATATACGAGATGCCGAACACAACACGTGAATCTTGTCATATCCATGAGCAGATCTTCCACCCCACCAGCACCACTTGCGAGCTTCAATGTGTTAGGCCCTGGTTGCGCCCTAGGAAATAGGGCTTGCCTAGCTTTGCGTGCTTACGTGCTTCGTCCCTATCTTGGGTATCTTGAAGAACTCCCGAAACCAGAAGCTACCGCGTCGATGAACTGTTCATTGTGCTGTTATATGTCATATAAGCGCATACGATTAGAGTACGGTACGATCGATAGATTTGCAGGGACGTGGGTGGGCGGCGCCTGAGGAAAATACCCGGAACCGGTCAGAGCTCGATTGTGGCAACGCAAGGCACCTTCTCAGCTCTTTGTTTTCAGGAATTTTACACAGGGAGAGCACCACCTTTCCAAAATCTTTGTACCACATCACGGCCGCGACTCGTCCCTGACTCTGGCTTCGACGGCAGCAAAGGGCTCACTTCGGGCGACGGTTGAAATATACGCTAGACACTGTTTACCACCTGTAACTATAAGAATCAACCCTTCGTAAGCAGTCCTAAGGCAGTGGGGAGAGGCTGCACGACCGCCCGAACGCGCGCTCAAAAGGTTGGGCCTCTGTGTGTTCTGCAACCGTCTCACTGCGGCTCTAGGACCCTCGAGGCGAACACCGCCCGATCGCCTGCCCTAAAGTTACTTTGGCATGGCCCTCTGCTCTGTGCTTATGGAGGGCGTGTGCCTCTCTGGGCTAGGATCAACAGTGCGCTGTGCCTGTAGAACTAGTAACCGGCTTGATTGTTGATCCCACTTGTAATTAACATCGCCTCCTAATATCCAAACCGCATACGCATACATTCACTCGTTGGACAACTAAACTTACCGGGATACCAGGAAAAAAATCAACTGACAGAAACTCTGCGAAAAGACTGGTCCTTCTGTTTGCAACCCTTTGAGCTCCTTCCTCCCTTTAGCAAGCAGCAGTGGGAGCGCTAAGCTGTTCCGAAGCAGCTGTGCTCGCAACCGCGCTTTTCTATGACCTCGGCGCAACTGTACACAAAGACCACATTCAAACAATAGACTTCCCCGCAAGACGCGCATTCACATGCTTCCTTCGTGGTTTCCTTTAAATGACCCGATGGCGTTACTGCCAGGCATCCGAACGGACATCCCCCCGGGAGAAGTGCTGAGCGCTTAACCCAAACACTGTATTGACCAATAAGACCCCTGCTGAGAGGCACCCCCCCCAGGGCGAACCCCGTATGTACCTCGGCTTGGACAGCATCTGGCAACCAGAGACACTCCCCTGCCCCACCTGCCCAGTTGCACTCCAACGTACCCTATCACCCAGCTAGAGTCCAATCCGCTGTACTGGTGTCAAATAAGACTGCTCTAGCGCACACAATAGCCAAAGGCCGCTTACCACAGCACCGGGTGGTGGTGAACAGGCAACTCTGAATCCCAACCCCGGCGGCGCAGTCCCAAGGGGGCCCAAAAGCCATGGCCGTGTGATGGCCTGACCGACTCACCCGCACCGCCACTTAATCCTCGATCGCCTGCGAGCTACTTCGCACTTCCCGAAGTGGTGTCATATATACTGCTGTGCGCGGGACCTCGTGCAATAGGTCATCCGGAACAGGTCCACATCCGCACCAGGTTCGCGTCGCCCCGCACATGTGGGATTTTACCCAGGAGGGGGGGGATGCCATCCGCCGACAGTCTCCGAGACGCTTCCTTCATGGAATTTTTCCAGCTGACCACTGACGACCTAAGTCTGGCTAGTGTCGCTGTCGGCTTAGCGGCCTCTAGCTGCGCCTCCTGTCCTTTCGAGTCCTTTGCTATTTTTGGAGGGTTCAATCTGGAAAGAAGCTGAAAACCTCAGCTGTGATATACGGGTAATACAATTGATTCTGCTGTTGTTAATAGAACCAAGGGCCAAGACGACAGCAGCCACTGTAGACTTCGCTCTGGAGTCTAGGGGCCTAGCTCACTTTCAGTTGTTTTAGGACTAGGGTAGCCGTGTGCTTTATGGACTTGAACAGAGAAAAGCTGTGCTGGCCGGTCATGACTGAGGCTGTCATGGACAAGGAATGGACGCATTCGTCCCCTCTATTAAAATGTCGAGTCTTTCATAAACACACCGACCACCGGCAGGCGAACGGCTCACGTGGACCGTACGGTAATCCCCGCTAGAGAAGAGACGTCACAACACAGCACCACACATACCACCAACCCAGGACCCTCCCTTCTCCCCGTGCGGCTCCTGACCCCCTTCTGAGCCGCTCCACCCTCCCCTTCCCTTCCCTCCTCCCCTCTACCCTTCTCGCTGGACACACCAAATTAGGCAACGCACATCAACATCTGAACGAAAAGAAGCGAAAGAAACATAAAAAGAGAAAAAGTGGAAAAACACGAATAAGACGCCCGTCCCGCTTGGGCAATCGTCCCGTAACCCTCTACGCAGGCCCACTCATCCACAAAGGAAACTCTTGTCCTCCCGCGAGACACAAGACTTGTCCCTCCTTTGCCCCACCACAGCATCACGAGATAATGCGTCGTAGGCCAAGCCTTATCCATTACCGCTTGCACTACTACCGCCACCACTACCACCACCACTACCACCAACAACAACATTAGCGTGTCAAAAAAACACCTGAACCCTCGTCGTGCTCACCTCGCGCCGCCCTGCGCAGTACGGCACCCTACACGTCCGAGAGCACCTCCACACATAAACAGACTCAAGACTATGTTGGTACTGAGAAAAAAAACGTATGCAGGAAATGTAACACAAGGGCCGGCTCCTGACCCGCTCCACAGTTGCGGCACCTAACCAGGTTGCCCACCCCACCCCAACTTCCGCCAGCTCCTGCGCCGCCATAGACCATTCCCTCCCTCTCCCTACCGCACACTACCCCCCAAAAACCCCTCAACCAATATCCAACCGCAAACCCCTCTTCTCTGAATTTCACTCCACGGCCCCCCTTCCTTGTCCTCGCCCTCACCCTCTTCCTTCTAACTGCCGACACACAGAAACCGATCAGGATAACAACTGTCGTAGCTACTGCTACAGAAATTGCTACAGCTTCTAATAATAGTAACATGCGTAGCTACAGCTGCTGCATAATCAGCGTCAAATCAGCAGTAGCACAGCTACTGTTGGATAATGCGGCTGCGGTACCGCTCAATGTTGTTCTTGGTCAGTACGGTCAGGGCCTCCACTTTGAGGGGTTGCTTGGTGAAGGGGCACCGGCGCTGCGTGTTGGATTGGGGTTTCCAAGAGCAGGAGGGGCGAATTTAGCAGGGAAAGAGAGACGGGTTCTTCGAGTTCAGGTATTGAGCACCGGAGGTACGGGTGGAGGAGGGAGGAATACGACCGGCTCAAGGCTGGTCGAGAACGCGCTGGCAAAGACGTTCGCCTTTAGTTCGTCCCCAAAAGTGATGGATGGCAAGCGGAAGGGTTTTTCACGACGTCCCAGCAGAGAGGGGGGAAGAGGGACTGCAGGGTGTGTGTTTCGCGGGTGGGTGGGCGGGCGGGCGGGGAGATGGGGACCGGAATACAATACCCAACCAAAGGAGGGTGTCCTCGTGGGGCCTCGCAACCCGACGTGGTCCACGTGCCGTATGTGTCGTGCGTGTTGAACAGGATGTCTTAGTGGGATGTGTACCCATGTATGTACACAGTGTTGTTATTGCCTTCAGACTCAAATACAAATATTGCTATACAAAGCCGCAAAGAAAGCCATTAGCTAGGACCAGACACGTCACTAAAATCCAACTGCATAAACTGCAAGCCCAAGCCCAAGCCCAGCCCCACGCCCACTCCCCTCCACAACCCCCGTCAGACATAAACCTTCTCGGCTCCCCCCCTTCGCACCCCCCCCCGCCCCACCGGACTCACATTCTCGGCCAGTACGGCCTTCCACGTGGCCAACCCCATGACGTGGCCGTATGGGGAGATAGCGGGATTAACCACCGGCTCCAACGTAATTGGATCCAGAAATCCAGGGAGGGGATTATCGCGCAGGGACTGCTCCAGGAGAGCCGCGGCGTCCTCACCCGCCTCCTCGCACCGCTTGCGGTACCGCTCCGCGCGGGTAACGGCGGACCACCTAATCAGGCAATGAAACCGTTTAGCAGTTAGGCAGCTCAATAGACAGTCCGGTGCTAAATAGGCAACACCGGGGCGAGGCAGAGTTTTAGGCAAGCAGACCGGCAGGTGAATATATGGGCAGGCAGTTGGACAATTAACTAGTTAAAAGCGTAAACGGCAAAAACATTGCGTATGCGAGTAAAAGCATCGCTCACACTTGCGGGTTTGTTAAGTGAGCAGGCGGATAGACAAACGGCGTGCAAACGGTCAAACGGGAAGTCATAGAAAATGTAATCCTTTCCCGCCAGAACACACACACACACACACACACACAAACACAGAAGAGCAAGCGTTTCCTAATACGTGCCTGTTGCCGGCGTACGTCTCTTCGGCATCCTCCTCGCCCTCGTTGCCCCCCGCCGCGGCACCAGAACCCCCGTCGTCATCTTCGTCATCCGCGCCGCTGGTGCGCCGCCCTCCTCGACCGCGACCCTTCCTGGCGCCCCCGCCACCATTGCTAGCGGAGCGAGGAGCGCCGCGCGGTGGCCGTGACCCCGCTGCTACCGCCGAGGCTCCCGCAGCGGCAGCTGCTGCCGCTGCTGCGCCACCGGCGGTTCCCACTGACGCGCCCCGGCCGCCGCCGCCGCCGCTTCCCCCCCTGGAGGGAACCGGCTGGCCTCCCCGTGCTGCCTCCCGATCCATCTTCCCCTCCCTGGACATTCGCATATCCCCAGTCAGTAGCAGCAGCAGTAGCAGCAGCAGTAGCAGGACGGGGAGATGTGAGAACAGTAGAAGGGACCTACAACCCCTGACAACGCGGGTAAGGAGGAGACATAGCGAGATAAGCCTCCACTTCCCAACCTCCTTCCCTGACCTCTTCTACCCCACATCGCCCCTTTCCTCTTTGTTGGCTTAGATGCGACGGAGCGAAGCGACCGGAGCCTCTAAGGCTGGTTCTGTGGTACTGTCGTACAACTGGGTCGCAGTGGCGACTTAAACCTTGCTGCTCTCCTGGTGAAGTCATTCTGCCTTCACACAGAAGAGCATACAGCCTTGTCCAACTAGTCAGCGTGACAGGCTGTACTTGCCCCCCGCCCGCCCTGTCCCTGTCAGCTCCTTGCCTCCTTTCCGCTATCCCCAGTCTTGCCCCAGATGCAGCACTGATCGGCTCGGCCTGGCGTCGGCGGGCTCCCGAGAGGCGCCCCCCCCCCTCAGCATGGCGGCAGGGAGAGACAGCACGCGCGCGGGAGGGGGGTGCTTCAGGGGGCGGGGCTGAGGCGCCCGCACCCGGGGTGAGGGGGGGCGCCCCGCGGGGTCGGCATGGGGTGGCTGCCTGGTCGTTTCTGGTCGGTCGGGCTTTGTCCGGTGCGAAGGTCTTTGGGGCGCGCGGGTGCTGTAGTGCCTCTGTTACTTAGGGTCAGCAGTGCTGTCGTGCCGAGGTTGGGTTTTGGTGTTAGGCGCTGGCGCCCTTTCGCGGTGCGTGCCGGGCCGTCGGCGGCCTGGTGTGTCGCGCCGCGGTCGGCCGCGCGGCCCCCGTCGCTACGGGCGGCCTGCTGGCCGGTTGGGCCGCGCGGCCACTGTTAGGCTTGGCTGTTTGCTCTTCCAGCTGTGTAAGGCCCGTGGCAGAGGTGCAATTCTCGCCAAAATCGTCCAAACCACGCCATTCAGCACCATCGGGTCAGCCAATCCACAGCCACCAGAACCAGTTAAGGGAGACAGTAACACAGAATTATTTTCCCCTGTCCCTCTCCCTTATCCTCTCACGCTTCCCTCCGCTCCCCCCTAGACGCACCAGTAGGTGGTGCACTTCCTCTCCACGTCCAGCGCCTCGATGGCGGCACAAATCTCTGGCTGGTTCAATCCGAAGTACTCAGGACCGGCGATCGCAGTCTTGGGGGGGGGAGGGAGGTCCTCCCCTGCAGCCCTACGACCCTCAATCTCGCCATTGATGCGGCGAAGCACCTGCAACACACGCCAGTTTGCGGTGGACTTCGGCGTCAAAAGCATTTGGCATTGTGGTCGGAAATCATTTCGGTCAACTTGATTTGAAATCACTCCTCGTTAGTTTTCTTCCACCGCTGGAAAACTTTTCTTCGAAGCCGCGCTCTACACCCCTCTATAGCCCTCCTGCTCTTTCACTCGCCCTTTCTTGTTGTTGTCCCGTTCTCCCTCTTCCCTGTTCCCTCTTCCCTCCTTTTGCCATCCCCAGTCCAGGACGCCCTCACCGCCGTCCAGCAGCCTGTGCAGCTCTTCGCCACCAGGGGCTCATCAGGTCTGTCGGCCGCCGTCACCACAAAAGTGGGCGCGGGCCAGTACTGCCCGCACTCGCCCAGGATCTCACAGGTGTGCAGGGTGAGGCTGTCCAGGTCGACCGAGGAACGAAACAACGTCTGGGCCCTGAAGCCCGCCGGGAAGATGTAGCCTGGGAACCGCCAAGAGACAAAAGGAAACATGAAAAAGAAACATACAATGTCGCCAAAATTTCAACAGAGATTGGGTACTTTTGCAAATTTCCGTCTTGTATTTTCATTTCGTTCTATTGTTAAAAGATTGTTTTGAAAAGCATGGCCAGAACAAGACAGGATGGGACATGGCAAAGTTGCAAAACAATCTACGGGATTTATGGGACAGGACACAATACACCCCCACCATGCATTTACCTGCATTGTACCACCCAGATCTGCCAATTAGCTCTCCCACCGCCAGCAGGTCCGCCCGCTTGACGCCCTTCTGCTTCACACGCCCACGACACGTGTGGCCGCTGGCGCTGATGGCGGCGCCGCCGCCAGCGGGAACACTGCTGCCGCCGCCGCCGCCGCTACCGCCTGAAACCCCGCCGCCGCCGCCACCTTTCTTTCCGCCATTACCACCTACAAAAGCACATGTGAAAAAAGGGCTTACTTTGTCGCTCTGTAAGGGCCACCCTAGCATAAGCCCCACAAAAGGGCTTTATGTGAGGGCCACGGTGGAGGGCACATGCAGCCCCGCGATCCCCCCCCGCCCCCCCGGCAGTTTTCAGCCCACCTCCTTTCCCCTTTTTGCTCTTAGCTCGCCGCTTAGTTCGGCCCCCCGGTGACTCCTCCTCGGTCATTGTGGCTTCGGAGTCATCTTCACAAGGAACGTTGGCTGCTGCCATCGCCGCTGTCGGCATCACCGCTGCCGCTGCCGCCTCGTCGGCACCGCCACGGCCCGACGGCCCCGCACCGCCGCCGTCGGTTACTTCCGCTGACGCTGCCGCGGCTCCGGCGTCCGCCGCTGCCGTTGGGGCCTCCATGGGCCGCAGCTGTGGGGCCGCCGCCGCCGCTGCCATCGCCACGGCAGCGGCTGCGCGTTGCCGAGTAGCGCGCGTTGCAGCGGTGCCGCCAGCACCGCCGCCACTGGCGGTGCGTTTCCGCGGTTGTTGCTGCCGTCGCGCGCCTGCTGCTGCGCCTGCATCAACGGGTGGTGGAAGGTAAAAGTGCCCCTAGTTAATGGACGGTGGTGACGTGGGATAAAGTTGACCTGCGAGCTGACCAGGAATGGAGTTGAGCCTCTGCCATTGATCCGGCAGATTCCGTTGGATGCCGGTGGTGGGTGCGGAACCTGAACGATCCACTGAGAAGTGGACTAGGGTGACTAGATGAGGGTGCCCCGAAATACCGGGGAAGGCAGGGTCTGCAGGGTAGCAACCACAGGGTAAAGATATGACCCTCCTGTCCCACACATCGTACATACATAAGAGTGACAGTTTGCGCAACAAAGAGACGGGCTTCCAAATATAGGTACAAAACGGAAGCAGCACACCCAAGCTCCAAAACCACCGCCCACCAAGACCCTTCCCCCTTCGTCCGCTTGCCTGCTCGTCGTTTTCGACTCCCAGGTACCGTAAAACCATCGCTATCGTCCTCCTCCTCAACTTCAACATCTGTCTCACTGGACGATGACGTGGCACCGTACGACGCAGCTGCCCCGCGCCGTCCTCCGCCGCCACTGCCCAGCTCAAAATCCGAATCACCGCCGTCACTGGCGGTCTCCGAGCCGCCGGCCCTCCGTCCCCCCTCCTTCGCTTCCCCTTCATCGCTATCTTCATCCACCGCCGCAGCATGCCGTATCGCTGCCGCCAGATCAGCCTTCGCGCGCCGCGGCCTATGTGCCGCGAGTGCCATCGGCTGATCGGCAGAGGTGGTTGCGGCGGCGACTGTAGCAGTCACTGCTGCTGCCGCCGCCGCTGCCGCGTGGGCTCTCCGCGCGGGGCTGTTTACCTCTTCGTCTTCGCAGGTTATTGCCGCCGTCGCCGCCGCAGCAGCCAAAGCGCCTGAAACGTTCAGGTCGTGGGGACCTTGAAGTTCGTGGCCTTGCTGCAGCGGCTGTTGTGCCGTCGCCGTCATAGCTGCTCGTCCGCCCGAAGCAGGTCCCGACCCCGACGGCTCCGCGCTCCGTCGCCCTTCCGCCGATCCGATTTCGACGGGCATGGCCGTGGCGGCGGCATCGGCGGCGAGACCCGCAGACTGCATACAGGTAAAACCAACCAAGCAGTTATTACCATCGCCATCATCATCATCACCGGCCCCACCGCCAACGCAACGCATATCGCAGGGCTGTGGCAACGCCCATTTGCACTGCAACGTCCTGGCCTTTTCACAAATTGAAGACATTCGTCCGGTACAGCTTTTTCCCTTCAGGTTTATCTGTCATCTTCAAAACACCAAAATCCATTTCTCAGCCGAAACGACATCCATGACACCCCAAGGCCATTCGCCTTTTCTTCTTGACTCACCCAATTCTCAACAGGATGTGGCACTGACCGGCAACTATTATTGATCCCAAAGGACCAACCAACCTCACTACCCCTAAACTCCAAAACCCCTTTTCCTTGTCCTCGTACTCCTAGCTCAACCCCATCTAACTCGCATGCCCTCACCTGATGGACATCATGTTCCTCGCCATCCGCCTCCGACACCCGCCGACCCCTCTTTCCCGCCAGCAGCGGACTCATGACGGGCGGCAGTACGTCATCTTCGTACTGAAGCTCATTGTCGGAATAGTCTGGACAAAGTGTGGCGGTTGGGGCGGACGCTGGGCTGTTCAGCTAACCATGGCAAAACGTGAAAACGGCGTTCGGACGGCAGACAATGGCAATCAGGGTTCGACACACCGTACGGGGCCCGTAAGTTTTTGGCCTTTTTTCGGTATCCCCGTAATGGCCCGTAGGACTTTACGGTGGGCCCCGTAAGGATTTTGGGGCGCGAAGCGCCCCCGTACGGGGCCGCCCCCGGACCGGCCGAAGGCCGGTTACGGGGGCCCCCGTAAGGATTTTAAGGATTTATAAGAGGCCGTACGGCGCCCGTAAAGCCCCCCGTAGGGGAGAGGGCGGACCGATTGCCGACTGCCGTGCAAGGTTGTAGTACCCTTTGACCATATAAAGGATAAGGCCACACACTTGGCAGACATAATTCATATTGCAATATTTAACTACACTTTTCATAATACTGTTATAACTTCTGGTCTGTAACATCCAGCGATGGCAGACAAGGACAATCAACATACCCCGCTAGTGACGATGAGGCTTTTAGTGACAGTGACTACGAGACCGACGTAGAACGAGATACCGTTGAGTCGTGCGTGGATGAGGATTTTGATGAGGAGGAGGAGGACGAGGAGGACGAGAAAGAGGAGCAGAAGGGATGGGCGGCCGCGGCGGCCAAGACGCTTGGCTTTCACTGAGTATGCCGTGTCCCCGAGTGTAATGGTTCACGAGAAAATAACGAAAATAACGATATACAGGGCAAAAAAATGCAAAGCGTCACTTTCCACAGCGTTTCAGCAAAGGACAGTGCCCCCGTAAAGGTTTTGCGGGGATTACGGGGGCCCCCGTAAGGTTTTCGGCCGGTACAGGAGCCTGGTACGGTGGCCCCTCCGTAAGGAAAATTTGGGAGGTACGGGGGAGCCCGCAAGTTTCAGGAAGGTCAGTGTCGAACCCTGATGGCAATACAAGTTCAATACGCAAACTCATGAATTCGCCAATCTCTATAGGTCGTTCTAATAATTGTGAAGCAATATCCATCGAAGCCAAACCCCCTGGACAAAGAAGTCCGCGCACCTGCAGAGTTTGGGTCCTCGACCTCTACCCCTTCATGCTCGCCCTCATATTCCTCGGCCTCTGTCTCGCTCTCGCCACCATCCGCCACGATAGTGGCTCCTGCCATGCCGCCCTCCTGCTGCTGCTCCCCATCAGCCCCTCCTCCTGGCCCCTCCTCTCCCAGAGCATCTGACTCCATCGCCGTGCCCACATCCGCCATTTCCACGTCACCATCGGCACCCTTTCCATCACCGTCTTCGCCTTCCTGCAGCTGCTGATGATGATGTGGGTCGTACTTCGCCGCCTGCAACCGCAAATGACATCACGTGACATGAGGCCCTTTCAGCTCAACACCTCCTGTTCCAACACATTCTTCTTCTCGGCGTCATGCAACAGACAACACATCTCTGGAGATACTAGGGACCGCAAACATGCGCCCAGAACCCCCGGGAAGAGTTGGGTCCGCACATGCACGCTACTCCCCTAACGTTCTGTTTCCGTACATGGAGTACGGCATTATGACACACCCCGGATTATGCCACACACACTTTTATGGACCCCTATGCTCACCCCTAGCCTGGGCGTCATAACCGCGTTAGCGTCATCGCCTCGTGCCCCTCTACCACCAGCACCACCACCGCTAGCTGCGGTCGCTGTAGCGGGTGAGCCGGCGGCCGCAGCCCCGGCCTGGCCGTGGTTGCTGCCAGCTGCAGCGGCGATGCCGGCGCGACGAGTCTGTTGCTGTTGCGGTTGCTGTTGTCGCCCCATGGCACTGATTTGGTGAGGCCCAAGGCGGGATTTGAAGCGACCCACAAAGACCGCGCCCACCTGCGCAACAGGAGGGAGGGGAAATCATATGTGGCAAAGTGGAAAGTGAACTGCCGGCCTGTCCAAGGTCCGAAACTGCTCGAGTGTATAATCGCGATGAAATCATCTGCCCATCGCAATACGGCGGGAAAGCAGGACGAGAAGGAGGAGCAGCCGCTCGAGGGAGGGAGGGCGTGACGGATGGGGAAAGTCTGCTGTTTTAGCAACAGCAGCTGCAGCAGCAGTAACAACGGCATGAAAGCGCCAGGATTAACGCCCGCCAGCCCACTGCCCTTTCCCAAACAAGAGAACAAATGCGCAGTACAGCATCGCTCCGAAACCTGACTGCCCCACCTGGCTCGGGTCCACCAACCGCGGCCTCGGGCCCACCGCCGCACGGCTGCTGCTGCGTGGCCGATCCCGCCTGGGGGCTGCTTGCGTCATATTTGGTGTTTTGCAGGATGGGAAGGGAGCATTGGGATCCTTTAATGCAAGTGCAAGTAAAAAACTGAAATGGAACTGAAGTTGCAAGGGCAAGGCGACACTGCCCGCATGAGCAGCCTTACTGGGACCTCCTTCCTCTTGTCAACCCCCCTCACATTCCTCAAATGAAATAGCGTGTATATCACCCCCCATAAATGTACTCATGCACCTTCCTCTTACAAGGAACGCACACAGGCGCACACACGCCCCTGATGGGCAACGTGGCCCCCCCTCACCAGGCGCATACTCCGCTGCTGCTCCTGTCCCCGGTCCTCCGACACCGCCCGAAAGAACTCGCCGCAGGAAGGCCTGATCGGAACTGATCTTCTCTGCCGCCGCCTCCTCCCTGTCCGGGATATATACATAATATATGCAAAAGGGGCAGCAGTCGGGGTTCAAGGCAGGCGTTCCCGAAACGACTCGAACAGGAGTCTATCACCTATTCAACCAGGGGAGAGAAAACAGACCTAGGGGAGAAAGGAAGTCAAAAGAGATCACAGCGAGGAGTCAGGACGCCAGCGAATGAGCAGAACGCCAAAAGGTCCAAGGCAAACCCCAACTACCTAACCGACCTGACTACATGCATCCCCCCCCTTCCCTTGCGCCATTCATTTCCGCTATATATTTTCGCTTTGCGCCTAAGATGGATCTGTCTGCTGCTGAACTGCCCATCTAATGCCCGAGTGCGGCGACGCGAGGCTCGTTAGTCGCATGCATGCTTCCCTGTACAATTAAGGAAAGCCTAAAACTCCATGTGGGTCGCACGACTTTTCGCTCTTCAACCATATTTAGAAACAACCAAGTTGATCCAATGTCCCGTGTGTCCAGTCTTACCTCCAGTTGCACAGCTCCAGGGCCCTCCTCGCGGCCTCTTCATCCAGGTCAGGACACACCTCCTGAAGCTCACGAAGCTGACGGAACGGGGAAAAAAAGCGTGGGTCACTGAAACCGGGAAGTGACAATGTGAGCACGTGCCAAAACATATGCGGGGATGTGGGACAGGAGAGAGAGGAGTTGCGTTCAAATGTCAACTGCTGAAATCCAAGGGAGCCTCATCAGGGGAAATGGGGAGTTCGGCAAGACAGTTGTGAATGAATATGTGCAGAGGGCTCGGACAAAACCCAGGCGTGGAGACGGGAGACCGTGACTGGGTTGGTCCCAGAAGGGTTGAGCATCATTAGCGGCGGGTTTAGGGTTGGGTGGGCTCGGGGGACTAAGCAGCAGCATAACGCTGCTCGGCAAGTTTGGCGCTCGGTTGCACGCAGCCAAGGTGTAATAGATGGCGGGGGGTGTACGGGATGGGAGGCAAGCAGAAGATAAACGTAACAGCCGTAGCCGGCGGCATACATGTATCTCGCATTCAGGATACAGCCTTGCTATTCAAATGTTTCCAGAAAGGGGACATGGACGGGCATGCGGGAGGGAAGGACATGTTCCGGAAAATGCGAGTTCGGACAGGAAAAGCTCCGACAAAATCACATGCTCGTATAACATGTGGAAGATGAGTTGCAAGTTTCGTTTCTTTAGTTTTACCTTGCGCTGTTTCTCTCGCCGCTCGTACTCCTGGAACATCTTCCGCTGCAACTCTACCTAGTTGGGTCGCAATGAAACAAACAAGCATGTGAGGTCTCCCAGAATCTGGTTACAAGAAGAAAGCTTATAATTGAGCTCGAAACGCCGGCGTTCTTACCCGTTGCTGAATAATGGCTTGTTCATCCTCTGTCAGCTGGCGCTCGTCAAGTTGTTTAAATAAATTCTCGGTTCTGCAGTCAGGCTCGACCAGGTGTTTTATTCGAAAGTAACAGGCAACTGGCCCTCCTTTCTCCTTTACCGATGCAGACTGGTGCCGCCGGCGTTTGGCAGAACCCCCAAGGGAGTGATAACAACATGTCGTCCAGTGGACATACCTGCGACGCTCAATGCCATTCTCCCCGGTTTGGAAGAGCTCTACGAGGTTGACTGACGCCTTGTTCTCCGAGGCCTGAGACTCGCCGGGATCGGCCATATCTATGGTAATGTTAAATTGACTAGTCACTAAAGCACTATGTTTTTGTGCCGGTGCTTATACATGCGTCATGGCGAGCGAGAATGAGTAGTAACTTGTCAGTGCGTGGTCTGTCGTTTTGTTGCGATAATGCAGTTACTGTAGCTAACGGACTCGTACTGTTAATGCGAGGGCAAATGCTGCAGGGAGCTAAACTACGGGCAATTGATGCCTGTGCAAGGTGCGTCTGCGCGCCATGCACCGATTGAATTTACGTACGGCTCGCCGGAACTGCCAACGGAAAATTCCTTGAGGTTGCCAACAAGCCAACAGCACGTTCAATGAGTAGTAAAATGTCATCTTTAAGGTTTTGCGCTACATTTTCATTACATGCTTGGGGTTTACACGCGCAGAGCAACTGGTGACCTACAAACCATAGACCCTTAGCTCTACTCTCAACTTTTTCAGCGTCAGTTCAGCGTCAAGTCCGGGTGCCTTCCTGCATACTAGAGAGAAACATGTCAAGCAGCCACGCCAGTACGAGCGAAAGAAAGGAAGAAGCATGGGACTTCCTAAAAGGAAGCGGACCCTCGAGCGCTCTTTACTACTATGCGCCCCTATCTAAGGAAGGAGTTTTCAAGCCAGGTTGGAACACAAAACGACCCCAAGCGTCCATTCGCCAAGATGCCGACCGGAAGAGTTACGAGGCTTTCAAGGTTGGTGCTAAGCCAAGTTCGTAGCTCCCGGCGATTGTAAGGAAGCTTCCCGCCTCAAAATAGTATGTTATATACGCAGGAACAACGCAGCCTAACACATGGCGAAATCCGCAAGGAAAGGATAATACAATGGTAAGTGACACCCATCGCCAAGGTTAGGTGGCATCCCAGATTGAACGTTCAAGAGTAATTCCGGAATCTTTTGCCTGTGTCGTTCTTCTTTCGCAAGACGAATACTCCTTTGCTGTCTGGCAACCTTTGGATGAGATGGCTCTTGCCAGGCTTCCCAGTTCCCTGCGAGGCTTCCCCTGTTACCACCGCATCCACCGACACATAAGCCTGTTCCCCCTTCCCCTTCTCCTACTCATCGGATCAAAAACTCCTTCGCAGCGATGGCAAGAACCGCTTCAACCCCATATCCCACCAGGTCAGTCTTCAAGTCCATTACGGAATTCACAAGGGGTTTTCCTCAGAACACGCTGAGTCCACTATGTCAGCGTACTGTTTAGCACGGTCGCCTTCAGCACCACCAAAGCCCTTCTCGTCGTCAGAAACATCAGAATCTTCGCCAAAGTTCCGTCTACGCTTTTGCTTAGCTGACAGCAAGCTGACCCAATCTTCCTCAATCCACGCAACTTCCTTCAGCCACATGACCGTTGTTCCCAAGAAACATTCCTTCACTCAATCCTATCCTGGTGATACATCTGCTCTACCACCACCAGCGCAGCCACTTTGAAAGCCCAACTGCCCTTCCTCTGGGCCCCCCTTCACTCTTTTCCCGTCCCGCGAACTCCTCTCAATTCCCCCTCCACCAGTCCATAGGTCCGGATGGGTCCTTGGCTCCCGCCACCGACGCATGGCAACATCAGCGAGTTGGCATCCCCGCGCAGGTGAGCAGTGCAGGTGTGCAGTGTACGGTTCTCCACCGCAGAGACGTCCCGCCCCGTCATCGCCCTGTCCCATGGCTCAACAACTCGTGAGATTCTGTCATCTTTGCGGGTTAGAGACTCCAGGCTCAGTGCTTTGAAAGGGCACATGAACCATGGGTCGGTGATGAACACACTTGGCTGGAGACTTGTATGCATAAACGAATAATTTGGCTCAGGCATCCATGGGTCAGTGATTTAAAAGCCTGCCGGGCTTAGGGCACGGGAAAGCGATGTTGGGTCAGCGTGAACATGAACTGGTCACGTTACTCTGCTTCCATGGTGTGGTGGCCCTTCCGTTTGCTGCGTGGAAAAGCACCAGCTTCCAAAATGGTTACTTGCAACGCATAGGCGGCGGACTGGGGTAAGGGTCCAAAACGGAATCCCGCCTTGGGCTCCCCTCAACGTCTCAGTGACTGAATTCACTCCCTACTCGCCACCCGCCCATCTGGTGCCAACTCCGACCGGTCCGGCCCATGGGGCGTCCACGTTCGTAGGAGCCTCGCTTCGCTGCCGCTGACACTCTGCGAGTACAGGCGGACACGGTGCGCCGCAACGTTGGCATCACCGAACTCCGGAAAGACCGCATTGCGAATGGAGGTGGGTAAGCGTGTTTGTGTTTGGAAGGGGGTTTGTAAAGAAGACGGAGGGAAGGACCTGAATCAGGGAATGGTGGGAGGGGCAGCGGGTCGTAGGGCAGCCAGGAGGGGGGCTTGAGCTTCGGAGGGCAAGAGCGGCCCAATGGCGTCCGTGATATGTGATCTCGATCGTCATTGTCTACATTTATCGCATGTATCGCTGCATGGCGAGTATATCGTTTCTTTTGGAATGCGCCGCCTGGCTCATCATTATAGTGCCTTTGCTTTTTGAATCTTGGGAGCTATATCCCCCTTCCTGGAGCGTATTTCTGGACTGGCGAGATTTTGAAACTTTGCGAAAGTGCACCCCTGGATCACGGTTGCTGTCGCCCCTTCCATCCAATCCTTTTCGACTTCCCCTTGGCCTTTGTCCCTTTCCCCCACTCTCTCTCCCATTCCTTTGGCCGCATGTTTTTTCCTTCCGAAACACAAGGCCTTTCAAAGCACCCCGGCGGAACCATGAAGGAGGTGCTGACCTGGGCTGGGCAGTAGCGCTAGCGCCGGCAGTAGCAGTGGTAGTAGCAATTGCAGGATTTACCTTGGGTGGGGTGCGCTGGTGGGAAGAAGGCAGGCTGAAGTTGTATGAAAAAAGCTACGAAACCATGGTGTATGTGGTGCTATAGCAGCAGCAGGACAAGCAATGTTAGTGTTGTAGCAGGTCTGGATTGCCACAGCTTACCACCATGGCGACAGCAGGCAACGCTCTGCCTGCCGGGGGCGGCATGGAATACCCTTACACGGCTATCGCTAAAAGAGCTGTTATCGTGTTGACTATTGGCAGTTGACGCAAAATACACTGTACGGTGCTGACTTCCCTAGTTTTTTGTTTCAGCTAACGGAAATGCTCTCATCGCTGTGTAGAACAACACGTTTGGGCTGGCTGGAAGACCTTGCCATGCCTTGCAAAATTGTACATTTGTTAATTTATCTATGTATGTGTGTAGGTTGCGTGGGTAAGGACGGCGGGTAAAAAACACTGTCTTAGTGCTGATGAAATCGCTGGTTTGAGATTTTCGATATGCTTTGAACAGAATGTTTGGAGCGACAAAATAAGACAGGGCCAAGCGAACAGAGCGCGGTACTGGAGGGTACGGGTCCGTTGCCTTTAGCTCGGCACGGCCGGTCTCGAGCGCCAGCAGGAGGGTGGGGAGGAGCGCCCCGCGGCCGCGGTTTGATGCCTTTCACGTCAGTCCTTTCCTGCATGTGTGTGTGTGTGTTACATGGTTGGGGGTGCGTGACCCCATACCTGTAAGACTACCCATACGAGCCGAAGGCCCGAGGGCAATACTACAACGCCTAAAAGCCACGGAGGAACGGAAAACACCGCACATCAGCCCAGACTAGCTTCCAAAGGGGGTAATTGAGTTTCGGTGAGCCCACATACGTTCCAACATCCTCGCAAGACGTGCGGGTTCCCATTTCATGGCCTCCAACATGCTCTGTTGATGATCGAATCCCTCTTCAGCACGAATATCAATATAGGCTGGGCATTCCAATAACACGTGTTTTTCATTCTCGATTCGGCTATTAGTACCACAACAGCGGCAAAACCGCTGCCCCCTGGGGACATGGTACTTGCCCCTTCGTGCTCTGTTTGCCTCCAAAGCCCAGCAACATAAACGAAACTGCATTAGCTTACGATGTGCTAAACGAGAAATGAAAACCTTAGCATGTGTTGGCCACATGACGGCTGCGGCTCCCGAAAAGGGCAGCCCCATCCAGTGCTTATACTTCGCCATTTGCACTCCCGGTTGCTTGCCATCTGATGGGTACTCCTCTGGAGTTTTCTTTGCAAGACAGTCAGACGCGTATGGTCCCAGCCGCTCATCAAACGCTCTCTTAGTGCCGTTATCATCGCTCCTTCGGGTAGAGGTCTACTCAACAACCAGTCAACACGCTCCTTTACCCCCACGACTTCTTGCGGTATTCCGCTCCAAATATTGCACTCCAAGAAGGAAAACAGTCGTAAATTGAGATCCCCCAACCCTCCCATTCCGGGTTGGTCAGGGCATCGGTTATCTCCTGCCGTAAAACTGCATGGGCAATGGACCCCACTTGCTTTTGAAGGCGGTTCCAGAAACGGAGGATCTGTTTTACCATGTAATATTGTAAGGGGAGTTCAGCCAGCTCCGCATACAACAGCCTGTGGGATGGCCGTGCCGTCCCCACTACCTGCCTCATGAATTATAATCTGCAGCTGGACTGCGCTATCCTTCAAACAGGCTTCGAACATGCCCTCCGCAAGGTTGGCTTTATCCCGCCGCCTTCCCACCCTGTCCACGACCTCTGCCAGCGCATGTACCTGTAATAATTTAGAAGATCCTTGAAAGGCGAAGAGATGATGCAGTAGGTAATGATACAGTACGTGAGGCAGGGTTGAGGAAGTCAGAGAGTATTCGACACTGAGACGCGAACCCCGTCGCCTGATTCCCTTCAATCGCATCGCGTCTTTGTTCCAGGAGTTGTTCCCGGAAGCGAAGCTGTGCGCCTAACTTAGGACCGTTATAAAGACATACGGACAGGGCATGGACAGGCAGACAGACAAACATACGTTTGTCCGCGTTTGTAACCAGGAGGACATGCAGGCTGGAGAAGCCCGCCGTCCAGAAAATATTTAAAATGGCCAACGGGCAAAATGGAAGCCATTGGACTTTTTATCAGCTCATGATTTGGGAAGTAGCGCCTGCCAACTCTGCCAACAACGATTTTACTTTTGCAGTGGGAACGATGTGGGACGGCAAGCGCAGCGTAAACAAAACTTGCAATGTATTGTTTAATAATGAGAACCCAAGTTTAGCAGGGCTCAGCGGACGCTGCTCTGTATGCATGATGGATCAATTCAAACGCACACACGAGGCAGCCGAACACGGCAATCGATGGTATTTCTTATATAAACGCTCAATCGTCTGGATTGTAGTGTTTTCAAAATGAGTATTTTCGTAGAGTTAAGTGATTTACGGAAAATAAGTAAAAGCACGAATACATCTACTACAATTCCCTACACCTACGAACACGACGCATGGAAGGCGGGCGGCCGTCTCGATTGGCGTATGGCTACAGGTTAGTTACCACCCGATGCCCGAAGAGGTGCTGATGCTGCAGTCTTTTTTCATTGCTGCAGCCTTTGTATTTCTCAACCCAGAGGGTCCATGGTGGCCTTTGACGCATCACGTGTAGGCAACGACACAGAGCTGGGACTGGGGTCCACATGTTTCAACTTCTGGCCTCGTTGCTGCTGCTGATGAGCGCATTTTAGTTGTGATCTACTCGGGCGGCCATAATAAGCCGCGCGCCGGAGAGTGCCGGGGGCAGCTAGCTTTCGTCGCGCAAGGGTTGGGTGCATTTGGCGATGATTATAATCTCGCACAGGGACCCCAAGCTAAAACGCAGGGTTGTGCCGCTGCCGCACTTTCGCCATCTTGTACTGCACTGTCCCGAGCGTTTTAATAGGCTGATCAGCTAATCGATTTCGATAGGAAAAGCGCCAGAAATGAGTCAATCGCTAAGTATGTCTGCTGCGCTAGGGCTGTGCTGCGCCTCAGGCCGTGCTGCGCCCAGGCCGTGCTGCGTGCTGCGCCGTGGCAATGCGGGGGACCTGCTTCACCTGAAATGGAAACGCGCTGGGGTCCGAACGGGGAGATGGCCTGCGCAAAAACACAACACCTGGGTATCCTCTTTGAACGATTATGCAAATAGGAACAGAGCACGTTGTTTCCTTGCTCAAGCTGCACCAGGCCATCCTGTGCAAGGCCACCGTGGTACAGCGATAGCTTCACCTAATACTAGCTCACACAATCAGCAATTTGCAAAGGAGGAGTGGCGGGATGGCTGCGTCAGCAGGCAGCGGACGTCGCGATTCCCATTCAAGCGCTCGCTTTGTGCTTTTCAAGCAAAATGTGATTACTGCCCATAATAGTCACTTTGCTGGTGGTAAACATGCGTTCTTATCCATGGCATCAACGCTTGCTGCCGAAGGATTCGAGGTGCACGTCGTCTCCATCGCAAGCCGGGGGAAGGTGCGATTTCAAGACCCTCGCGGAAAAGCTACGAATCGTCATGGAAAAACTAGTCTTATTGTTCCATCCTCCAGGTTTTGGTACACGCGGCCCTGGTGGGTTTGCTGCCACAACTCAGCTTCTCAAAGCCGGGCGTGGTAACGTGGCTCGAGCAGAAGGTGCATCATCACGTCATTCTCGTCGAGGAGCCCTCTGGAGCTGGTGCAGCTGAGCTCATAAATTCGACTTTGGCGGACAGCGTGTCGTCGTACGTGCAGGGTCTCGTCCTCTCGGAGGACTCGCCTCCAAGGAACACCAGCGCAGAAACATGCAGCCAGAAGGGGGGGACAGAAGTAATTGGCGTGCAGAATACACCTGACGGTGTGCAGAACCGTCCTGACTTCAGCTGCACCCGCGGCCCACAAGCTCCACGTCTTAGCTACAGCAAGGGCGATGCCGGATGTAGACGCGCCACCAGCAGTATCGAGGGCCGCAACCGAGCGCTGCCGCGGCATGGAACCTGGGTCATCATTGATGCGGACGAAAGCCAGAAGCTGCTGCCACCGCTGCAGCGGCTGCCGTGCCCTCAGGCCCCATCCGCGCTCAGCCACCCGCAGCCGCCAGCATCTGGGACATTGCTGCCGGCACCCCCACAGCAATGCAGTGACTACTACTACGACGACGACGACAACGGCGATGGCTACAACTGCGCTATTGATGTCCATATCCCATCTACAAGCACAAGCTCCCCTATACATGCAGTCAGCAGTGGACTCCTAAGCTCAGGCTGTACTAGGAAATCCGCTGGGGCGGCGGCGCCCCTGCCGCCACCTCCGCCTAGCACTACACTTTTTGAATCTCTTGTGGCGACGGCGCCGCCGCGTCGGTGCCTCGCCTACGTCCAGAACGTGCATTTCCTGCCCTTGGGTCCCAGTGGGACGGGCCCACGTCATGACGGCCTGTTGGCTGCCTGGGCGCGTCTGGGTGCCGTTCTAGCGGTGTCGGAGTTCATTGCCTGTTATGTACGGCAGCACTGGCCTCGGCAGCTGGCGGCTGCAGGTGTAGCGGCGACGCCAATGCCGCCAGTGCGCGTGGTACCGCTGGCTACGTGGCGCGTATTCGGGGCGCCTCCTTTCCCCGATTTGGCTGCCGAGGCGCTCCCGCGGCTGGCGGCCTGGCGAAATTCATATAATTGTTATTATCGGCACCAGCGCCAGCACCAGCTGCCTGATTCGTCGTGCTTGGCGCCTTCATGTTCCTACCGGGGCTCAGGGTGTAGCTCAGCAGCAGCACCCGCAATTGCAGTTAAGGGGGATCCGTTGCCGCAGTCGGTCGACCGAATGAAGAGGGGCCCGTATGACTTGGTGATGGAGGCGGAGGCCGCAGCCAGCCCGGCGGCGGAGGCCGCAGCCAGCCCGGCGGCGGAGGCGGCAGCCGGCCCGGGGGCGGGAATGGCTGTGACAGACGCAGTAGTGGACGTGGCCGTTCTTAAGTTTACACGGGAGAAGGGGGCCGCTGTGGTGTTGGAGCTGGCGCGGCTGGCGGGCCGGGGGGTACGGTTCCGGGTAGTGTCAGGTGGGGAGACCAGGAGGGAGGGCGGAAAAGGAGGGGGAGGACGGAAACGGAGGGGGAGGCGCGGGTTGTCCTGAGCAGCATCCTGCCTCTTCTCCTCACATCAGCAGGGATCCCCCTCTAGCTCCTGTTGCTGGCTACGGCGTTGCTCACTCACGGCGGTGGCGGCGCCACTGCCTGTGCCAATGCAATGGATTGCCGCCTGGTCAACGGTTCCGATTGAGGGTTGGCCCCACCCCATCATCTGTGGGCTGCTCCATGTTCTGCAGGCGACCCAGCAGCCGCCGAGATATTGGCACCGCTTATGCGGTCTGGAGCAGCGCCGCAAGCAGCAGCAGCAGCAGCAGCAGCAGCTGGGACCGCGGCTCCCCTGGAGCTCTGGGAGCCGCAGCCCGACGTGAGCCGCGTGCTGCGGGGCTGTGTGGCGGTGCTGGCTCCAAGTCTGTGGCTGGAGGCATGGGGCATGGTGGTGACAGAGTCGCTCTTGCGGGGACTGCCAGTTTTGATTAGCGATCTAGGTAGGGGGCCGTCACGCAAGAGGCATGGAGGGGGCGGGGGCTCGGGGGAGGTAGCGCAGCAGCTCGCGCTGGTGCTGGGAGGTGCACAATTGCAAAGATTGCGAAAAGATGATGAATGTTGTGTTTTTTTACGTGTTTGACGAACCCATCCTCGTGGCACAGGGCAATCATGTACGTGTTGGTTACTCCTCGTACGAACGCACACAATTGTACATACGGAACCGCACAACTATATGCCGAAAGGGAACCACAGCAATGTCCTACCACGTACCGTTCCACCCACAGGTGGCCTTGCGGAGGCGGGTATGGGCCTCTGCCACGCAGTGCACGTAGAGCCCATCCGGATCCCGCTCGACGGTGATGGCGTGCCTGATTGGGCTGCCAGGACGTATCCTAAACAGGACATTGACGCGTGGGAGCGCGCGCTGTTGTCGCTCCTGCTGGGCGAGGATGGGAAGGGTGCTGGGGCCTGCAGTGCCATCGGCCCGGGGGGTAGCAGCAGTGCTTGCTGCGATGGTGACGGCAGTGGTGGTGGCAATGACGGCAGCGGCAGCAGCGGCGTTGATGAGTGGGAGCGGCTGAGCCGTATTGGCCGGGAGGCAGCTCTGGCGCACGTGTCTCGTGCAGAGGAGTTTCTGGCAGACTGGCTGACGTGGCTTGATGACCTGGCCATGGAAGGAGAGGGCAGTCTATGACCTGCACAGAGAATTAAAAATAAAAGCGGCAAATCAAAAAACTACCATGACTGATATTTAATAATAGAAGCAATAGAAAAAAATCTAAAATAACATTAAAATATATGACCCCTGGCTGCTGTGAGTATTGCAAATGGAGAGACGATTGCTGGCATTTGGAGTTGCGCTGCGGGCGGGCGTGTCCTTCCACGTCCAGGTGGAGGTGTGCGGTAGGTGGCGTGTGCATGTATGTACGTGTGTGTTTTCTCTATGTCGTTGGCCTGCGCAACGGGTTGCAGGTGTGTGCGAGTGCAGGAGCAGTGTGCAGTAGCCGTCCAAGCCCCCAGTTGTCTCGTTGCAGACCCTTGGTGTTGTTGTTGTAGGTGTTCTACGTGCTGCTTGCTTTTTATTAGACTGTTGGAGGTGCCAAGATGGCAAGCAAGAGCAAGCAACGATGAAGAGGGCCCGGGAGCACTAAGGAGCCACTCGAGGCACACGGTATTATGGTGGGACTAGAGGCGAGCCGGCGACGGCAAAAGCCCATTCGAGAAAGGCGAGGCACAACTGACGGTAGCTGCTCAACATCTTGCAGTTGCATATGCGGATTTGTTCCCGAGTCCCGACGACAAGATGAGATCGGATGGGACGGAACATGAAGGATTCAAGCATCAAAGCATCGTATCCACCAGCCCGATCAACACCCTAGGGGCACCATACGGAGCGTTTCACCACCATCATCACCACAACCGCCACACCGACACCACCATAACATCATGACCCATAACATCATCATCGCGGCTGCCGCCCCAATTCATTTGCTTTCTTCCCCCAGGGAGTTGAAAGCTTCTTTGCATTGTTTCACATGGCTCTCATGTACATACACATGTGCAAACGAACAAGCACACAAATTACAAGCATCCAACGTTCAAATCCTGTACACATGCATGCTCAAATGGATGGTAGGTTGGTACGGTTGGAAGGCCGCTGCCGCCATCACTGCCGGATTGCCCCAGCAGCAGGGGGGCCACCACCAACGCCACCAGCTCTGCGGGCGCGTTGACCACTGCCGCCGCCATCGCCATCGCTGCCATGGAGGATTGGACGGGTTGGAAGTATTTATTATGTCACACCGTAAAGTAATGAACTGTGCTTTACAGTGCGCCCCAAGAGGCGAAGACCACATCACATCCAAAAATGTCCCCAGGCCGCTCGCAACTAGGCTTTATCGGGGTCTGTCTACGGCACCAGTCCATCGACACGAGATGCGCTACGTCAGTCAGGGCTGCGCATGCATTCACAGTGACTGATGCATGAGCGCCGCCGCGAAGCAGCAAGGGCAGAAAGCAGCTGGGCAGGTCCAAGTACACACATAAAACCTGCACTATGCATCAGTACCCACATGGTAACAGATCCCAATTCCATCCTTCACACCACAACAACAAACGCGACTGTGATGACCCGCACACACTCGTATGCCAAATTCATTTTCCTCTACCTTTTAGTGCTGGATCGGCTATAATGCGCAGTTCACAAGCCCCTGGTCCACCAATCCATATAGCTATTCATCTATTCCATTCCTCCCATGCCCCTCCTACAAGCCTCCTACCTCTACACCATCTTTGTCGCTCCACCACACAATGTGACACTCCTACTTCTACTCCCACTCCTACTCCCGCTCCTACTCCCACTCCTAGCACTATAAGTTAACTGTTACAGCAACGAACAAAAGGCACGACATCATGTTTCCAGTGGACAGCGCTGTCCAAGGTGGCGAATAACGAGAGACCTTTATCGCCCACAACCAAAACTTCAATGAGGAGCACAATATCCTGGAATAGTGCGGTGGCTTAATAATACGGTGCGTGTGGAATTCTGTGTGTATGTGTGTGTGTCTCTGATACCACCGGGTATCACCGCCAAGCTTAACGTATGACGCCGACGTGAAGTCGCCTCCCCCCTGATCAGGTGCTTAAGGCTTACGACTTATTGTTTCATTATAGCCCGCATGTGTTGAAGGGCCAACATTGACTTCTTATTGCTCTTGGGGGAGCCTTTCGTTGTGTTCAGCCCTTAAGCTCGGCCGTCATCGTCGCCGCTGTCGTCATAAAAGAGCGGGCCCATGTGGGTAATCTGCCGCCGCAGCTTCATGTTCTCATTTGCCAGGTCTGCAATTCGAACCTGCGTCGGCAGCCAATTCAAAACCGGAAGAATTAACAAACAAACGCAAAAAAACGTGAAGAAGTAGACGTCCAGAACAGCAGCGATAGGATTCGTCTTACACTCTTCCTTTCCCCCGGGACCGACGCATCACGTCCGCATACGACGGTCCCCATTACAAGAGGCCCCCTAACACACGCACACGGCACACCTTGGCTTCAACGAGCTCCTGAAGAAGCGAACCGTCCGTACGGCGTCCCAGTTCGTCCTGGTACTGCCGAAGCCGTAACTGCGATACAAACCGATGACCCATGGCACGGTGGAGTGTAGTAAGGGTTGACGGTGGGGAAATGGAGTTGGGATAAGGGTGTGAGGGAAAGAGTGAGAACACGGGGTGGAAGAGATTCAAAGCTGGAGCAAAGCAAAGCAGGCTCCCGTAATGCATTGCCCTAGAAAGTCCCCACCTCAACTAACCCAACCAACCACCCCAACCAACCAGCCGGAAGTATCCATCTGTCAGCGGTCGTCTGTCTAACCCTCATTGTCCATCTAACCCCCAACTCAAAAAGTGCAGCCTTAATAAACTCTACCTCAACGCAACGCTCCGAAACGCACCTCCAGTCGTTGTGCCTCACGCAAAGCTGACCCACGGGCCGTCTGCGCCCGGCCCAATGCGTCTTGCGCCGCCAGTGCGCGAGACCGCCATTCTTCCCGTTCATGAAGTAGATCCAGTGCAAGCTCCCGTAATTCAACCGCCTCCGTGGCACCCATGATGGCGGCTTCCAGCGCCGACATCTCGCCGCCAGCGCCACCACCGCCGTACTCACCGGCAGCAGCGGCGCCGCCATTGGCCAGCGACACCTGACTAATTGCTCCCGTCGACGTTCGGGCGACGGAATGGTTGGACGAACGACCCCAGCCCAAGCCGCTGCGGAGCCAGGTGCCCCAGCCGCCGCCGCCTCCGACGGCGGCGCCACCACCGCCGCCACCACCCTTACCCGCGCTAGCAACGATATCACTGCAGGTGCTCGCCGCGCCGCTGGGCCGCGCAAGGTTCCGTACGCTGTCTAGCACCGCCGGCGGGAGCTGTACATTCAGCGGCGAAGACATGGGCCCAGGGCCTCGGCCTCCGGCGACGGGAGTGGTGCCCGTGAAGCTGTGGATCGCTCGCTGGCTGGCGGCGACGACGGCGGAGGCGTAGCCGCTGCCACTGGCCCGGACGCGCCTGCCGGCGCCGGCACCGCCGCCCGCCGTCAGCACAGCCTGCGACAATGACCTCTCCGCCTGCTCATCCCAGGAGGCTCGTAGATCGATGGTGACGGCGGCGGCCTGAGGAATGATGCTTTCGCTGTCGGACTTGCGCAGAGAGCTCAAGCGCGAGTGCAGAGCCGCTGCCGCCGCCGCCGCCGGCGTCGACCCACCGCCGCCGCCGTTTCGCCGCGGCACGATGGCCGACGTCACGGCGGCCGTTGCGGCGGCAGCGGCACCGCTGGCAGCTGCAAATGCCGTCGTCCCCGGCTTGTTGGCACTTCCGCCACCGCCGGTGCCGGTTTTGCGCTTAAACACGCCCAGACCATGGCTCTTCTCGTACCCGCCGTCGGCTCCCAGGTCCTGCTGCGGCGATGGCGTCTTGCCGCCTGATGCCGCCGCCGCCGCCGCGAGACCCCCCACCCAGGTTCCTGCGGGGCCGCCGGACGGCTTCCGCTGGTGATGCTGTCCACGACCCGACGTCGACGGCCTGTCGCCGTCACCGTCCGGCGTGGATGCCACCGTATCCGGGACCGGCGTCGCACCCCACGCTCTGACCTGCCCCGACGATACTGTCGGCGCCACCGCCGCCGCCAGGGCGGATACTGCGCCGGCTGCGGCGCCGCCGTACTTGGCCGCACAGTTTACCGCGTCCTGGACCTGATTGTGACCCTGCCTGCCGCCGCTATCGGGGAAGAGGGCGGGGCTCCCTCCGCCCCCCGCGCCACAGCCGCCGTCGGAACCCCCCGTCACTGATGTCGCCATCGCACTGCCGCCGCCACCGCCACCGCCGCCCACACCGGGCGAGAGGCTCACGCGCATTAGGTTCTTTAAGAAGCTTTGAGACGACGGCCTGTCCTCGTTTAAATGCTGCTGCTGCTGATGTTGTTGTTGTTGTTGCTCCGAGGCCGGTGCGGTGCTAATGACGAAATACAGAGTCCCGCTTGGCCTGCGGTAGTTGGCAGTTGGCAGTTAATAATCGGAGTCCGTTGGATTAGATAGGTGCTGGAACTAGAATTTTGCTATTATCAACCATAAATCCATCCTAAATATGTGATTGCTAATTATGTGTCCCAAATTTACTCACTGCAGCGGCAGTGACACAGTTTGTTCCCTCGCCTGCCCCGTGTCGCTGCAATACTTGGTCATGTCCACCAAGGCGGTCTTGGCCAGGGTCTTGCCCCGTTGCTGCACCTTGAACTTGCACTCCTTGGGCCGAAAGCCGCTGGGGCAGCTGGGCGCCGCATGCAGGGGAACTACCTGTCCGGGGGGATTTGCGCGGATGCGTGAGCCGTTCGACTTTGTCTTTTCCGGAGCTTTCCGGCCCTAACTTCTGGACCGTTCGAGTTCGAATCCTTTCGGGACTCTTTTCTCCCTTCTTTATCACTTTGTTGCTACCCCATGTTCATGTGTCCTTTTCCTGCTCTTCGATGGATAGCTGCTGGGCCCCCGTTCCCAGAGTAGCAGCCGCCATTCCTTGCTTCCGGCGCCGTCTGGGAGTCCCCACGCAGCCGCAAGCTACAATCACAAATCACACGTCATATTGGTGTTGTGCTACCCAGGCAGGCAGTGCTCCCGCCGGGGTTCCTAAAGCGCTGTAGGTGTGTCGTCGCCTTCGCAGGTCACCGATACTGCTGTTGCCGGTCTGAAGCGCCTGCCAACATGCTTACGCTGCTGCGACACAGATTCAATTTTACCATCTAGAAATAGTTTCGAATCAAACGCTCGCGATCATGTGCGATGAGACCAAACGTGCGGAATTGCACATCTCCTCAGGTGCACACCGCACATCTTTTTTTCTCACGGAGGATTTTCGTTTTCATTTATAGCTGAATGCAGGCACACCTGGGCAAAGTACGTATCCGACCAGCTCAGCACGGTCTTTCCGACGCTGTCCTCCGTGACATGGGTCGTATCCCCGCGAACCCACAGCAGCACACAGGGATGATCGGGCACGTGCTGCTTGACATTCATTACCTCTGAATGACAGGGAGACATTAGGAAGTTTTACAACAGGGAAGGCGGGGAATTACGGGGGGAGAGAAGGGGGGATGCGTGATGGGATCCGGGGAAAGAGGTGGGATGTGTGGCGGAAGGCGGAGGGGCGGGGTTAAGGGGATTAGATCGGGTTCGCAGGCCGCAGTGGACGGCTAGATGGAGGGAGTGAGGGAGGTAGAAGGCATCGGATGTTAGCCTCCTCAGTTCTAGGTTGGGTGGGGTAAGGCTGGTTTGCAAGTGCAATGCTGCCGCTTCACATCATGAGACAAAAGCTCCACGAGTCGACACGGATTGCAGCTTGGAAGGATGGCTCTTTGTGACGCAAACGAGACTCGCCTGCGCGGAGCTCCGAGATGACGATGTGGAAAGGCACCTGCTTTCTGCCACCCAAAGCACTGGGACGATCGCCACCACCCCTCGTAATTTTATTTCGTGCGCCATCAACGCTGTTTGACAACCTCTCTAGCATTGCATATGTCCGTAATGGTGTTTGAGGAATCCTTTTTTCTCCTATCGGCAATAATGCAGTTTCAATGCATATCTGTTATAAGTCTTTAGTACTGGATATAACCCAATTTTCCTTCTCCTGCGAGTATTAATGCAACAATGATTTCGCTTCCTCACTCAAATGACCGTTCAAATGCATGGCTCTTCACAACAAGCATAGGCATCGAAGCATCTGAGCGTTAACTATATTCCATCGTCGTGAAGAAAGACAAATCCCTCTTCGAATTCAATGGGCATACGTGCCGTACTGCCTATTGCGCAAGGCCCCCGAGCATATCAACCTCACGACCAACCTTCCAGATGGACAGGAGTAAAACTTCCATGAGGGCGTGTGAATTCTTGACCGATGCGGAGCCAATTCCAAGCTGCTGCAGCTCCTTGATGCTGTGCACATATGTTATGCAAGCGTGAATCCAGCTGGCAAAAGTCCTGCATATGTTGTCGTAGCCTTATTCAGTGCATGAAGGACTGTTCTGCCACGAGGAAAGCGACAGACCCTCTCCTCTGGGTAAAGTGCTTAAAAGGTACTGTGTAACTGACGGGAACATTAAAGCCCAGGCTGCTTGTGAAAGTCAGACGGCCATATTGGTCCTAACATGCGGAGTGCTATCGCGTCTAGGCTTGCCCGTACTGTAAGCGTCTGCAGTGATGATGCGATAGTACTGCTATGTACTAAATGAAAACTTAAAGATCAGCTCCTTGGGCGCTGCAAGCACTGGGCGGGACTGGGGGCAAGCTCCTGAGCGCTGGATTGTCCAGGTGGCCTATCCACTTGTTGCCAACCTCGCCGCGTATGAATCCGAGTCAAGAGAACAACTTCCCCAGTGAACCTGCAAGCTGATAATGCTCTTCCTCGTTACTTCTCTGTTTAGCCCGGAGCGTTGCGCTCTTCATGGGCACTGCGGCACATGGCCACGGACGGCAGCCAGCGGAAAACGTCAGCACGACTCACTCTGCCAGCTAGTGTGTGTGTGGTTGTTACAGTAGCCAGCTAGTGGCTCAGGAAAGCAGCCGACCACACCCTAACGACCTTCGCTGAAACGGTCAGCACTCCGGAAGCTGTGACCCAGTCTTAACGGTTGTCTGAACCCGCCAATGAAGGCATACGCCATTGCCGGACAAGGACCTATATAATTTTTCCTGGAGCTATCAAGAGCTAGCGCGTGGTGGTGCTGGGACAAGACAGTGGAAATATGTGCATTTGCGCAACGCGGTGGTTACCCTAGCCTACCTCCGTCCCAAAATAGAATGCGTACTGTAAGGATTGCGATGGGCATGGGAGCAACCGCAGTAGTACGTCCATGACTGCCCAGACATGGTCCATAGAGCAATCTCCACGATGCAGGGATGTAGTGGCCATGCTGCTATGAGATGTTATGTTAGCAGCCCGTATGTCGTACGCTTGTTACGCTTTATCGATCGATATACAGCTGACGTACGAGACAATGGGAAGTGGCCCAAACAGGCCAGAGAGAACGAAAGCCACTCCCGCTCCTGCAGTCATTGAAAAAGGACCGGACCGCTCCTAACTCCTAAAAAATCGGGAAGCGTAAGCTAATTTTACTTGTCGAGAAACTGGCGTAAGCCAAGAGAAACGGAATTGTTTAAACTCAATTAAGGATTATATTGCAAATAAAATGTTTCGCATAAATAGTTAAGCTAGTGTTCATCATCACCACGCATCGTACTTCTCCAATCCTAGCCCCGTTAGCTCTCAGGTTCCGACAAGGACTAACATGAGCTCCAGAAGGTCATCAGTTCACTCGAAACATTACAGTCATGTTCATCCGTCCATGATTCCCCGGCTTCTAGCGAAATGTGTGCACCTTGTGGAGTTTGCGAACGTACGGTAACTTGTAACCTCGTTGTTACTATGGAAAACGGCTCAGCCATAAGAGAGCAATTTGCAGAGATATTATATTATAAGTTTCTCATTAAATTATTATGATAACTGTCCTCTGCAATTTGACCTAAATAGTTTCGCGTAAGGACGAATCAGTGCCAGGTAGGGTACTAAGGTTCCAATCAAGAAGGCTGGCTTATTAAATATTTTTCAAAATATTAAGCGCTCGCCATACCCATATTAGCTGGAGCAAGTAAGCGCATTCCCAAAGGATGCAAACCCTTTATTAAGATGTACCGCATCGTATTCTTTCGGGGCTTTTTCGCTTTTTGTGGAGCACTCCAGGCCAGTTGAAAGAATTGCGGGATGCATTGTGAAGCGCTTACTTGCGTTGCAAGACTCAAAGTCGGAACGCCATAAGGAGGTGATCAGCCATAGCAACCCGTATCATGCTGGCCCCATATACGTACATAAAAGCTGCGAAATCAAATGTTGTATTATTTCGTGTCTTTACGGGTTGTGACCTGGCGACTTGCAAGTCCCAAGTATGTGAGCGCTTTATCACATCCGCATTTTGTCTGCCATAATCTGCAAGGATGCTCGCTTTCGTTGCTCATCCAACAGATCACCGAGAAATTCCAATTAACTGGTCTCATTTCAGTATCCTTTACCGTTGGTGACATCATCATGTACCCCGACAGCAACCCCCATCCTAAAAGCAGTGTAGCACGCCTATCCTTGCCTTGGGCCCCGCATCCCATCCTGACGTCGTCACCCTATTCCCCATCCCGCCTGGCCAGTACCTGCCCCCAACCCCCCATCTTTGCAGCCCTCTGCCTTGAGAACCAGTCGGGTCCTGACTGGTGGTTTCTGCTCCACAATTTAGGGGTGCCTATGTTAGGAAGTTCCCATCTCAGCATGTCGCGGCCAGCAGTGTGTGGTTGTGGAGGTGATCCAATACATTCCCTGGGAGTGTATCCCCTCGCTGTCATCACTTCTGGGCCTGTCCGGTGGCACAGGCAGTAGCAGATCAACTCACTCTTCGATAGGATTGCCAGTCTTAAGGGAACAACTTTGGCTTGTCCAAGCCTCACGAACAGTGCAACAATGTGTTTGGGATGTTGTGGCTCTTGCTGCGGTGACAGCCATGGAGCATGGGAGACGATATATGGTTGCAAACATGAAAACCAACCCGGCACTGTAAAACCTGGCCCTTCCCTTACGGAAGGAGCCATCTGTCGAGTTGTTGTTGCCTTTCGGGACCGCCTTCAGGGTTTCGCAGCTCTGGGAATTCCACGGAAAAGTTGGGATTCTGTTGGCGCACATCACCCCTTCTTGCGAATTGTGTCAGGCAAATTGTTATGCTCACGGGAGCGGTCACCGATGGACAATTAGCTATCACCTATTTTCTTTTTTGGCTCTCTTATTCTCTTATTGGAGGACTTTTGAGGCTCAGGCCTATTTCAATAATAATTGGGGGGTCCTGAGCCTTCCCTTTGGTCGCGGTTTTGACTGTCTAATTGCCTTTAGATGTCTCATCTGGGTGATTGTCTAGTTTGTATATTAGTCTCTAGTGCAGTGCACGGCCAGCTGGCCCGCTGGCTCTACTCTTCGTGAGTCTGGAGCCCACTGTAATAACCACACACAATTAAGGACAATTTATTGTTCACATTCAAGCATTGAGAGCTAGTCCAAGGGCGTATGCTCGAGCTACCGCATCAGGTGATGTACTTTAACGCTCCGTTCAAAGTGGCGCAGAGACTCGGGACGCGTCAAAGGTGACGAATGCAGAAAATACGGCTTTAAGTAAGGGAAGAAATCTATGAGACCGATGCTACCCCGAAGAAAGCCGTGACGTCTTGACCCCTTGACGTCGGGCCTTACTGTCACCAGAGCGAAAGGGCCGTGTCTTGTGGACAGCATCAGAAAATACATTTTATAAATGGGTAGCTTTACAATAGCTATACAAAATGTAATATAGCGCATGGCTGGCTTGGATAGTTTCTTTCACTCAATTGCCATGGCCAAGCAAGTCGGGACCAGACAAGCCTCTGCGGCCCTTTACTGTCTTATATTATTCGCGTCGATTTCTTCTTGCCTTGCAGTACGTGTGTTGTAGTCCTCCTTCTCCATGCCCACCAGCACTGAAGCACCAGTCAGCTCGTGTTTTTCCCGCAGGTCGTTCCATACCTAAACAGCACGATTTGCCGCTCTCACGTTGGTTGTCCTTATAACAAGTAAGTCGAGAAGAACATCCACCAACGGTCGGACGTAAAAACCTTTGCAAACAACGAACCCAAGGTACTTACCAAATTATAACAGTTTAAAATTTGTCTGCGCAATCCCGTTGAATTTGGAAATGGTAACCTGATTTGCCGGTCGCGCCCGTCGTTCGTCCTCTGAATCTGTCCTACCCAACCAAAAACCAGATAGTTCCCGGTTCCTTAGCGAGGCCTTATGACACGTCCTAGGATAGATCCGAATTGATAACGACGAATCCATCTGTTCTATGCATTCCTCCCAGATTCGAACCAATGCACAGTCAAGAAGCCGATCGCGCGGCGGATTGTTGCTGACTGTTCCCGACGCAACACCAACCCGGCTTTTAGACTGCCCTACAAAGCCTACTGCACCCTGCAGCAAGCATTGTGTTGCTTTCCTGCATCCCTCATTCGCGCACCGTCTGCCACGTGTCTCTAGTGTACGATATACACGGAAGCCAAACCCTTGTTGGCCGTGTACAACTACAAAAGTGGCTGCTGCAATGGAAAATGGCCCCCCTGTGGTTCTAATCCACCTCCCCAAGTCATCGCTGCACTCCGGCCTTCTTCCCCCCAGGTTCTGCGCGCCATCTCCTCTTGATGGCCAAGAGCTTGGGACCTGCCAAGGCTGCTGGCAATGCTGCCTCCTTCCGAAACTTTTCGAAGCAGCAGATTGTGCCAGGTATGAACCCATCAGCTGTTATGTGGGGATGTGCCATCCTGGCTGGTCCGCACGGCTGGTCGTTAAAATAAGTACATGATGAACCTGAGGACCCCGCTGTGGCCCGACCCTTCGTTGGGCTGCGTGGACATGCGCCTCGATGCCCTGATGGTAATTCAGTTCTGAAATGCAGTAATGCAGCCTTTCTAGCACGCCTGGTGCATTGTACCCAGCACCGCTGATAGTGCGCTCCGTGGCTTTCTCGCCTAGCCTGTTTACGGGCCGCTTCTCTTGGCGCGACCCGTCGGCGGCTTCTCGGCGCCATAACCCCCACAACTCTCCTCTGTGGGGAATTCCTTTTCACCCCTCTCGCTAGCTTCGCGCAAGATATCCACTTGACCTCACTTTGCTACAGCCCTTTTGAGAGTTACCTATACTACCGCTGTGTGAAAGCATGTGCTCGAGTGTGTTTTGTAGTGTTCAGCATCCGAGACCAGCAAAGCAGCCTGTAGAAGGAGGGGCCCCCACGGCTTTCATCATGCTTTGCGTGTACAACTTCGGGATCCCTCCCCAGCCAAGCTAAATGTGGATCCACTCGTCGTGCCTGTTATCCCGCTTGTCCCCCCTAAGCTCCATGCTGGCATCTATCTTCTTACCTACCCCTTCCTGCCTGCCCCTGCCTGCCTGGCCCTGCCTGATAACCCTCATACTTGCAGTCGCTGCCGCTGCGCTGCTTCTCAGCCCTGCTCCATGTCCGCCGACTGCGGCCCTGGCGAGTTCTGCGCCGTACTTCTCTCCCGCAGCGAGCTGCCCGTCTGCCAGCCCTGCCACCTGTGCCGCAACAACTCCCAGGCCTTGCACGGCTCGTGCGCAGATTCCTGCTCCTCGGGGGCGCTCGACGACAATGGAGTGCCGCAGGGGGCGGAAGCACACTACGTGTTCGCGGCATTTGACATCGCAAGCCACCCGGTAGCGCGCATGGGGATGAGTATCTCGGAAGCAGATGGCCTGACACTCACCGTGACGGAGGTGGGTGGGCGAGGGTTAAGAAGGGGCGTAGGTGTTTTGCAGCATGGGATTGGGATGACACCGCCTGCGCTCCTCGCTGCTTATGTGACGTAGGGTACCCTTGTGGGATTCCACCTTTGGGAGCAGCCTTGGGGAAGCCTCGGGTTGGCGGGCGTAACAGGCGCACTTACGGCATGTGGGGACCCTTGTAAATTCCAGAAGGGCCGTGCCGATATACCTACCGCCTTCCTCTCGTCTTCTGTCTGGTTCCTGCCTGGTCTTCATCTCGGACTTATGCTTGGTATACTAATCAGGCACACGGGCTCCCTACATCCTAGCAATTTCGAGCGAGGAGGCCTCGCACAGTACGCATGCACGACCTGTGCACGCTTAAACATCCAACGAACATTTTCCCTCACCTTCCCCTTGCCCCGGACCTGGCCATGCCCATGTATGCCTCCGTGACGCGGGTTCTGCGACGAGAACCGCAGGACGCCCTGAGGTTGTGGCTGGGTGACCTGCCTCCGCACGTGCTAGGGGCACTACTGCCACCTGGGCCTCCGCCGCCGCCCCCGCCGTGGCAGCTGACGCAGGGCAGCATGCCGGGACCACCTGTGGCGAGGACTGACCCGCGGGTCGTCGCCTTGGGGGTGCGTTGGCGCTCATTTTAGCTCCAATTGCAACACGCCGCATTGTGCCATGAAATGCCACGCCGCGCTGCGCTGTGCCAT